TTTTTTATGAAAATACTGGGAAAGACAAAGATGTGGCATTTTAAAAACACTAGATTTTTTTGGCAAATTGTTTTGGGATAGAGAATTAAATCAAACAATTTTTCCAAAAGTAACTACTAGAATAATAATTACATTAAAGGGACTCTTGATTTTGTAAATATTATGTTATCAAAATCTGGTATTAGAAAACTCTGAGGTTATCAAATCTCATACTTCTTATTATGCTCATAAATTTAAATATTTAAATTACTGGGTACTAGTCTTAAACTCCAAATGGGATGTGCAAAGCTATAGTCTGGCAAGAGACCTCCTGTTATGATATTTTTTCCACTTTTGCTTGAGATTATTATCAGTCTTTGTTTTAAGTGAGATTCATTTCCCAGCCTGGTCCAGTCTTTATTTCAGCAGTTTCATCTTCCTTAAGACCCTCTGAACTGACCTATCTTTGGATATGTACAAGAATTACTAACCAAGAAAACCAATGGATAATCTGTGAAGATATCATGGGCATGAATTTACAGAACTATGCATTTATCTGAAGAAAGACTTATAACCAGTAATGGTGTATTTTTAGTTTTTAGAGTGTTTGTTTCATTTGTTTTGTTTTAATAAATTAGTTTGATGACAATTATAACTGTATTTCTTTAGGAACAATTACTGAAAAACACTTTTTGAGGACATTTGTCATCTAACAATTATTAATTTGGCAACAGTTACATCAAAACAACAAAAACTCCAGAATGTTTAAAAGAAATAAAAGAAGCAGAGGCATACTTCCAAGTGTCAAAAAGAAATATGGGATGGTTTCAGAAAAGCAAAAGTCTTCTTGTGATGAGGCTGACTAAAATGTCTCTCATCATAGGAAAAGTTTCACGCTCAGAGCTGTTAATCTTGTTTCATGTTCAAAGACATGCTTATTATAAAGAATATTTAATTTAAGGGATAACAGAATAAGCAAGCAAATATGCAATATTTCAATTAAAGTTGAACTTGTTTTGTCTCTTAAGCAAACTATCTAAAAAGTAGAGACAGGCTTGTACCTTTTTCCTCTCTCACTGATTGCCACATCTGAATCTCAATCTAAGAAACAAATCCATCAATATAGAGAGTATAAAATTTGCATGTGAAATAGAAGTATTTTAGAAATGTTCTCCAGTTAATATGGCTTATAATAGCATCAAATGTGTGCCTTTCACAGATGGCAAAACTTCTTGGCCAAACCCTGTATTGCTTTTATGAAAATATCAAATACATACATACCTTATTAAATTAGAAATGAGGCCTATAAGTCACAAAGCATAGAATTTAAAAGTTGCTAATATTATCATAATTTATCTTGACATAAAAATCACAACTGTTGAAAATACACACACAATAATTGTAGAATTTGAGAATATATCTTTTATTTGCAGGATGAGAGTGTTAACTCTGAGAGAACATGGTATAACGAAACATATTTAGGACAGCGTATTACTTCAACAAGTAACCATGGTACTAATTTTATTGTTAATTTATGTAGTGTATGTATATATTTTTCTGCATTTAAATTTTTTATTAATGTTTTTCCTATGAATATGATCAAATTATGACATCTATTATAAATAAATGTCATATTTTATTTTTTATTTTAATTTTATATTTAAATGTTTTATTTTTTATCTTATTTCCCCACCAAATACACTGATATATAAATGCAATTAAGACACCTACAACTAATTTCTGCAGTGTTGAATGCTGTTCCTGCAAAATACTCCATAAGCTAAGATTAATTTACTTAGATATGTGGCACAAAAACCATTAATATGTGAGATTATAGAGATTTGCATTATATTAAAAGAAATGCACAATTTTTTAGCCAGCAATGCAAACTTATTATTTATATAAACCTTATATATTAATTTAGAGAGTATCATTAAAGTTTGTAAGTGTGAACATTTACACACACACCCATATATATATATATGCATATGTGTACATCTTATGTATAGTAACTCCTAAAACCTTTATATGAAGCTTAGGTTTTAAAGGCTAAAAACGTGTACATGGCTGCTGCAGGATTATACCTGTAGCATTAATATTGATAACAAGATGGTGTAAGTTTGTCAGGCTTTCTCTTTTGATGTCTTAGGCAGTGAGACCACCTGGAAATAAAAACGAGAAATACATTTAAAAAAAACACATTTCATAATGAAGATATCCTTTAATTAAGGTATATCTGACAACAGTAAGGGAATAACTGATATGAAAAAAATATGATGGAGCAACTGGCATAAGGGAATGTAACACATTGGGAAGAAAAATATCTGTCATATAGGTACCCCATACGTAAAAACCTTCTTCTAGTCCTACGAGAATGTGCAAATTTCCTAAGTTACTATTTGTCAGGATCCAGTTGCAAAAGCAGAAACTATTCTTAGTCTTTCAGAAAAGGGACATTTATTACAAGTAGTTGATCATATAGCTGCATTGGGTATATATGATTTAATGCACTGACATTTCTTTTTAAGATAATTAAATGATATCATACAATTTAGCTGAATAGATATTAGGGAGTGAGAATTTTATTGTTGTTATTGTTTTCTCCTTAGAAATTTTAATAGCATGTTTTGGGAATTATAAGGCTTTTAAAAGGGCTTTTTGTTATTTCTTTAGTGGTCACATATGTTAGTAATAAGCAGTCCCTGCCCAGTGCATATAGACCTACTTTACAACATACTATATATATATAGTCATATATGTATATATTGTCATATATTTATATATTGTCATATATGCATATAATCTAAGAGTTTTAATGAACATATTTTATTACATATGTATAATCTGAGAATTGAAAATGCTCCATAGACTAACAAATCTAAAGAATCACAATTAAAAAATCAGAAGAAACTGAACATTTCTTTTAAACATTTATTTATTTATTTATTTATTTATTTATTTATTTATTTATTTTGAGACGGAGTCTCACTCTGTCGCCCAGGCTGGAGTGCAGTGGCTAGATCTCAGCTCACTGCAAGCTCCGCCTCCCGGGTTTACGCCATTCTCCTGCTTCAGCCTCCTGAGTAGCTGGGACTACAGGCGCCCGCCACCTGGCCCGGCTAGTTTTTTGTATTTTTTAGTAGAGACGGGGTTTCACCGTGTTAGCCAGGATGGTCTCGATCTCCTGACCTTGTGATCCACCCATCTCGGCATCCCAAAGTGCTGGGATTACAGGCTTGAGCCACCGCACCCGGCCTCTTTTAAATATTTTAAATAATGTGTACTTTGATTTATACAGGTCATCTCTTTGTCAAGTATATATGCATGCTCACATACAAACTCATACACACACACGTGCACATAGGCTTTCAGAGAAGATAGGTAGTTAAAGATTTAAAAATAAAACAAAATTTTCCACTCTTAATGTCCCCAAATTACCAATGTACTTTCGCTTTGCAAGTGTATACAATCCATTTGAGATATATATATATATTTGTGTATGTGCATATATATGTGTATATATGTAATACATGTGTATATATGTAATATACACATATACACACGTACAACAAATATTTTGAAATATATTTCAGAAGATGTATAAATATAATTTACATATAAATATGAACAGTATATATTTCAAAATATATATTCAGAATGATTTCAAATAATGTACAGAAAATATTTTAATTGTAAATTCCAGTATGATAGCATACAATGTCTGTATTATTAATAAATATGGTACACAACTAAATAAAAATATTATGCTTATAATACAGGTATAATTTCCACAAGAATTTAAACTAATGACATAATACCTATGACACATCTCACTAAAATTGAACAACAAAAGAATTAAATTATTGTCAAAATAATGTGGGGGTTCAAGTAATTTAAATGTCAAAACTTTGAAAAATATTTACTTTAAAAATCAGATGCATTTTAAATTAAATTTTATTTTTTAAGCCACATAAGAATTGAACATATTTGGGAGATACATAGTAATGTTTCAATACATATAATTTATAGTGATCAGATCAGATAAATTAGAGTATCCATGGTTTCAAACATTTATCATTTCTTTGTGTTGGGTACAAAATCCCCTTTTAGCTATTTGAAACTACATAGAATATAATGTTCTTAACTATAGTCATCCTACAGTGATATAGAACACCAGAAATTATTCCTCCTACCAAGCTGTAACTTTGTATCCTTTAACAAATCTCTCTCTAGTCTCCCTTTGCTGCAGCTTTCCCAGCCTGTAGTATCCTGTTTTATTTTTTACTTCTATGATATCAATTTTTTTAGCTTCCACATATAAGTAACAACATGCAATGTTTAACTTTCTGTTCCTGGCTTGTTTCATTTAACATATGCCTTCCAATTCCATCCTTGTTCACATTTTCTTTACCCATTCAACTGTTGTTGGACACCTAAGTTTCTTCTATATCCTGGCTGTTGTGAATAGTGCTGCAGTGAACATAGGGTGCATATGTCTCTTTAATATACAGATTTCCTTTTTCCAGTAATGGTATTGCTGGATCATATGATAGTTCTATTTGTAATTTTTGAAGAAACTACATATTGTTCTCCACAGTGGCTGCTCTAGTTTACATTCCCACCAGCAGTGTCTAAGAGTTAATTTTTTTTTTCTGCATCTTCACCAATATGATTTTATTTTACTTTACTTTACTTTATATTATATTTTTATTTTATTTTATTTTATTTTATTTTATTTTATTTTATTTTATTTTAAGACAGTCTCACTCTGTCACCCAGGCTGGAGTGCATTGGTTTAATCATGGCTCTCTGTAGCCTTGAACTCCTAAGCTGGAGCAATCTTGAGTAACTGGGACTACCTACTGGCATGTGCCACCACATCCAGCTAATTTTTACTTTATAAAATTTTTTTTAGAGACAGAATCTTGATATGCTTTTTAGAGACAGAGTCTCGATATGTTGCCCAGATCTCAAACTTCTGGACTCAAGCAATTCTCCTGCCTTGGCCTGTCAAAGTGTTAGGATTACAGACATGAGCCACAACGGCTGTCATTTTTTTTTATCTTTTTGATAATAGTCACCCTAATTAGGATGAGATGATATCTCATTGTGGTTTTGATTTACATTTCCGTTATGAATAGTTAATGTTGAGTGTTTTAAACATATACTTATTCGCCATGTATATGTCTTCTTCTGGGAAATGTCTGTTCAGATCACTTTTTCATTTTTTAATCAGGTTGTTTCTTTGTTGTGATATTTTGCCTTATGCAAATAGTATTGTGAAGTATTAATGAAGTAAGACAATTTTATTCAAGGACCAATCCCATGCAAATACATTCAGAGCTGTTCTTAGTTAATTGCATTTATAATTTATACTTTTTATTACCATGTGCATTACTCTAAATTTAGTGAAATTTTACTGTATTTTTACTCAGTGTATATACTGTTGCTCATGAATTGTTGGAGTATAATAGTTAACTATCCTTAATTAAGTCTTATTTATTGAATTTATATGTTGCCATTTTCTATAGGATTTTTTTGTTTGTTTGTTTGTTTGTTTGTTTTTTACAATATGAGTGGAATCATTGCTGATTTTCTATGAATATATGAACTGAATTTTCTCAGATAAATCTTATGTTTCTTTTGTGCCCACAAAGACATCTGGATACTCATCAGAAGTGTAAAAATTCCAACTAGAAGAAAAAAGAAATAATTATTATTTCTTTCTTATTTCTATCAAATAAGTTATATCAGGAAAATGATTACTAGCATGTTTAGCTTTTAAGATGTTTCCCAAATGCTGCATAATTTCTTATCAATTTTCATTATTCATACCCATTTCCTAGCAATAGCCAATCAATATTGCATGAATGAATAAACACAGAAAATACATTACAAAATTAAAAATGAATCTACATATTTTACATACCACAACCACAAAATACTCCCAAATAAGGATTTATTTTTGTGTTTAAAAATTTTCAATAATAGTTGCCTATATGCATATAATATTCCTCTGCATGCATATAATAAACCACATTAATTGTGATTCAAATCTTGTTTTGAACACAATATAACAAAATAGATAAAATGGATATTACATATGTCTTTCTACTAAATGGAAATCATGCAGTTCAGCTTCTTAGTGTGTGTTAAAATGCTCAGTATTCAAGATGAACTCTCATACATCGCAACTCTTCCTTTGAAGAGAAAACACATACACATGCCTGTGCACATGCACAAGAAGAAGTTTCAAGGGAAATGCGTTGTTATCAAAACTTCTTCTAAACAAAACTTCATTGCTTAATAAATACATTTGGATTACAATTCCTGGCTTGGATTAAGCAACAATTACACAGAGATAAAGAGCAAAAGTACTTCAATATATTTTAATACTGCTAAAAATCAAACTCAATATGAAATTATAAAATCTTTTTGCAAACATGCTCTACTTTAATACTATAATAACTTTTTCTCAGAAACCATTTCTTCTAAAGATGCATTTATTTGATTAATTGTCATTAAATCTAGGTCTTACCTGGCAGTGTTTGTGTCATGACTGTGAAACTAATCCATGATCCAATCTGTTATATTAAAACTTAAATTAGCACATACATAAATGTAATCTAGTAATTTTTTCACTTGTGGCTTTGAATAGGTAATTTTAAGGCTTAAAATATTAGAAAACTTACAGATAGGAATACATTTTCAAAAAATAATAATTTAATTTTTACATATAAAGTCACAAGCAATCTCATAAAATGGGATCATATTTATAAGAAAATGAAAGATTTTAATATTTGAAAAAATTGTGATTGAAATGTTCTATTTTTTATACCATGATCTATAGATAAGACCTCTATATTTTTCTTGTATATATTAATTTATAATACATATACATACATAAGCACATTCATTTAGTATATCATGAATAGGATTCAAGGATTTACATACATAAATAACATACCTCATAGGTGTAGTTAGGACATGAAACCAGGAAAAACATCCATGTGAAGGGGTTATAATTTGGACTTGGGAAACAGGCATTGTTTCCTTTTGCAAAGGAAAGTAAAATGTCAATGATGCTACATATTGCAAATCTGATCATATGCTTATTATATAATACTAAGTCCCCAAAATAACTGTGTACCACATGAAATGTCATCATATATTTATAGCAACCTATTTCACAAATTACTCAGAAGAGAGCCAGCTTTAAATGTTATAACCTTTTGACTCAAATAAAATAGCTGTCATTTTCATACCATGTCTACAGCTATGTTGCTGTAACATTGCAAAGAACATAAGGATAATGAATTCTTTAAGATTTTAAATATATATAAATTATTTTTACATTATAATAGTTGAAATAGTAATACATACTGAAATTATAAAGCATTTTTTAACATTTGCCCACCTCTTCACATTCCCCTTTACTATCAAAGAAGATATATTTGTTTGAGATTATTAAATATCTCGATTCCCTGTATTAAATTGGTGATAATCATAAGGAATTTTATAAAGATGTCATTTATACCAGAAAAGTATGCAAACTTCTCATAAAAGGATTACATTTAATATCAGTATAGTTAATATTCTGAGATATCACATTTCTGTTCAGCAATCAGGATTGATATTTACATCTCTCATTATCCTTCACATATTGTCACTTTATTTTTGTTAATTATTTTTCCCTTTTCAATTGTTTTTAAGAAACATTTTAGATAACAAATTTTTAATGATTTCAAATTGAACTTGGAGCTGTGACATTTGTAAAAGTAAGTATGAATTATAAAATTACTGTTTTATTCTCCATACCAAGATTTAATCAGATAACAAATCAGCTAAACTCTTTTCCTTATAACTCTAAAGTCATAATAAAATGTCAGTGTGTTGTTTTCAAAATTGTAGCAATTGCTGAAATATCAAAGTTAAAAATTATGCTAAGTATTGTGCAGATTTTACAACTGTTCATAAATATAAATATGTAGGTCTTTCGATATTACTGATTTTTTACAGTATTTATGTAGACACCTTTGTGTAATGTCCGTATATTAATAAAATAAAGATAATTGAGGAATCTACCCAGGTTATAGTCACTGAATTTCAGAGGCAGAAGGTTCAGGGAATAGTCTGCTTTAGAGCCTATAGTTTATGAGTGTTCAGCCCCTAGAGGTGCGGAATGATCAAGGGTCTACAAATCTACATTTTTTCCAGATCTACTTTGTGGATTAAATAATGGATATGCCTTATGACACAGAACAATATATGTATATAGATAATATAGTTTCAAGTATACACAGTTGCTATTAACTGTAATATTAAATAAGTTTAGGAGTTACTAATTTAATACTTACATTCTTCATAAATGTTCTCTCAACCTATAGTTATTATAGTAGAGCTTCTATTAAATTAAAGTCAGGAGGCTCCTTACATTAAAATGCTGTGCCACCAGGTTCTTCTCTAGGCATATAAGGTTTACTCCATTGCTTCAGGGAGTGCTACTGGGAGAGAACCTTCAACTTCTGTACTCCCTATAGTCGGAAGCAATCTCACCCAAGGTCACACTCACTGATTTAGCCTTAATACGGTATTTGATCAATATTGAAAATTGATTAACTCAATTCAGGAGAACATGGATTTTTCATACCAGTTTTAGAATGTCCCATGCAATCACTGGAGACTTGTTGAGACTATATTGCTCTCAATTTCCTACCTAAATATGATCTATTTCTTCTATCCATAAAAACCACTCCTTAACAATCTTCTTGAGTATTAATCTCCATCCTGGCATCTGCATTCCAGAAAACCCAGCTTAGATATTTGGCACCAGGAATGGCCCAAAAAGCAGATGTTGGAATGGCATTTTAGAGTTGAATGACTTACCATAAGGCCTACAATGTGTACTCCATAGCTGATGGTAGGTGCAGACAGATAACTAAAGGTACAGGGTAGCAATCCAAGTGTAAAAACCTTTTACTACTTGGATATTGTTATGTTATAGCGGTTGAAAACAATATTCTATCTGGTCTAATACTACAAGTGTGATTGAATGGCTCGACAAAGACATCTAAAACAAACTGATACTTGGCAATTAAAAGGCAGTTGTGAAAGTTAGAGGTCCACCTAGGTAGTGTGCAAAGAGGCCTGAAGAAGGCAAAAAAGCTGAGAAATAGGTCCAGGTCTTAATTGTAAAAGTAGTCAAACTCCAAAGAATATCCAACTCCAATCCAATGCAGATCTGTTAAGTCAAGTTTGTTTATCGCACAATCTTGGAATGTCTAGGTTTTCATAAACTCCTTGATCCCGCAGAGGTGGCCCACTCTTTCCTATGAAAGTTGAGCACACCCTTCCTTAAAAGCAATACAGAAGGCACTACACTGCAAGAAAACCCCCTGGAAAATCTCCCCTATCTTTTCTTCTAGCAACTACAACTAGGGTTATATCACAATATAAACTACCTGAGGTTGTTCTGGGGATGATAGAGAAAAAAAAAAAGATAATGCCCCAAAGGAGCTGCAGAATCCAGCCAGCGTGAACCAACAAAATTTAGGAGAATACACATGGGATTGGAATCTGAGGGTGTTTGAAAAGAGGGGTAAAGTATAAAGTTGAATAAAGGTTTGTTTATGTTTTGGGAGCACTGTCCTGGAATACAGGAGTAAATATCCTGCTAAGATTGTACAAACACACTACTAATATGTACCTGGAAGCATGAACAAAGCAATGGCCCACAATAAGCAAGAAGAAATGTTAGAATTTTCATGGCAGGCTGGGAAAGAAGGTGCTAAGTGCCTTAGAGAAATAGGAATCCTAGAGCAGATAGTCTATGCAAGGCTGAAAAGAGAGGACTTCTTTCTATGCAAGGAATTTTTCCCCATTTCATGGTCTCAGGGTTTTTTTTCATGTTCCATGGGAGAGCCAATATGATACATCACTTTTCAAAACTACGAGGAATATGGTAGTAAAAAAATACCATCATTACTAAGATTCATGTTGACTTTTGCTGTATCAGGCTGACTGTAAGTGAAGTCATCTTAGAACTGAGATGACTAGTAGTGAATGGGATTAAAGGACACCTCCTCACACCACTCCCTAGAAAATCAAGGCAGTTCCAATTACAGCACTTAATTGTTCCTGAGTCAAAATGAGTGCCCTGTTCATAGGAGGCTTGACCCGCAGAAAGTTATGTTTGACTAATAAAACACAATGTCCCTAGAAGCCAGACAGTTGGATATCCAACAATGCTATTGCTAAATTTAGACAAATACAATAAATTATAGATGAATAGTTAAGAGATTTGAGACAGCTGGTGCTATGTCAGATCTACTATTCCTTTCCCAGTATTGGAATGTGAATCAGTTCTAAGACTCCAAACTCACTGATGGAAGAATAGTCTGGGAGGAAAGGTATTGTAACACCAAAACAAATGCATATCATAATGATTTCAGTGATCTTTACTAAAAGAACTTTATTGATTCAGGGAACCATATACCAGAAAAAAGTGTCATTTTTACATTTTAAGTACTGTTAGACAAAGTGGGTTCACAAAGGTGGTAATTTATCCAGATCATAAATAAATAATAATTGGAATATATATATACTTTGTAGTTTGCACAGTATCTACATTTGCTGAAGCTTTCTTCTGTCATATCCTCCGAGAAAATGTCCTCGACTAAAGGGAACTGCCTTACAAGGTCTTTTTCTTCTCCAGGTAGACACACATCCAACTTATCTGTCTCCAGCTATTCCAACTCTTGACACCTCTACAGGGTTATTCTAGCTTCAGATACCCAATAGAGTTGACTAAGACCATTCTTGTGACTACATCACAACTCAACTTCCTCTTTGGCATAGTTCTCATTCCTTGCCTCTTTTCCATAATTTCTAATAACCTTCTTTTATACCAATTTCTGCTACCTGAGAATATGACTCATGACACTTTGTACAATCAATATTAAATGGTTCCCTTCTAGACATAAACCATGCCTAAAGCACATCTAATAGATATTACAACAAACTTCAAGTAATATATAAGTGAGGGAATAAAAATTGAAGAGTAGGAGACACCAATTTAGAGCTGACACAGGAACTGATAAAGATTTTATGTAAGGAAAAATAATGCATTGAGTATGTAGCTATTAATAATTCATAATCAGAAGATGAGAGTTCAATTTGAGAAAAGATTTGGGACCTGATATATCAGAACCCTGGATAGGGAGAAATTGAATAGAATTATCCGAAAATAGTTGAGGCCAGAGGTTGTCATCTTGGAGGACATTGTTTTTAAGAAAGAAAATGATGCCCAGAGAAGTTTGCTCAGAGAGGGAAGGCATCATGTGGAAGCTTAGAAGGGAAGGGAAGGAAGGAAACATGTTCTGGGATTCAAGGAATTTAGAAAACAACGATGTTAGAGGATGAGAAGACACAATGAAAAACCTTCTGTTTCCAGAACGCACTTTTTTTTTTAAAGAGATTTCAGTAACCTCATCTGTAAAAAACTATGTTATTTTTCTTCAAGGTCAATTCACACATTTAACAATTAATGTAAATCAATTAGCATTTACATGATACTTCTGTGTGAATAAACTAGAAAGTGTTTTTGTTTGCAGACAAAAACTAACCCACCACACGGAAAACAAAACAAAATTTACAGAACACACACACACAATTACCAAAGAATGTAACCATTAAGAAATCCCAAAACTGAAAATTGATATGGAAAAAAAAAATACAAGAAAATGTAATACAAAATAAGAGTTGACTGTACTCAAGAAATTGTGGACAAAGAAGAAACTTTCCCAGTAATATGAAATACATTTTCATTTGCTTAAGGATGTAACATTCAATAGAACAGAGGATATTAAGCAGATGAAAAGAATAGCCAAAAAAAAAAAAAAAAAAGGGACAAAGATAGTTAAAGAGAAAGTGATGGAGAAGCTAGAGACAAAAGAAGGAACATAGGTACAGTGTAACCCCCCTCACACTCCACAATGTAATAAAACTAATTTTAAAATTGTAATTTGAGGAAATGTTTTAGAACTTAAAAAAAAAAAAAAAAGGATTAACCTACTAGAAGAGTACCCAGTGATACTGGGGAAATTGGTTGAAAATTATCAACCCTTAAACACTCCTTCAAGATTCACAGACTTTAAAAAAAGTCACCTGTGCCTTGAAGCAAATAAAAAACACCATTTAACAAAAGAGAGAGAATTAGATTGGCATCTGACTCCTCAAGAGCAATATACAAAGCAAGATAAAGAGTGAATATTAAAAGAAGGCGGCCTTCTTACATGAACAATTTCAAAATTCCTGGATGGCTTAAAATTTTCATTTTCAAATGATGAGACCATATTCCAGATAAATGAAGAAGCTTGAGTTGATTACATTGCTAGTCACCTAGCTAAGACTAAAATCTGTGATATTTAAACATTGGAAATGCTAGCATTTTATTAGATTATATTGTGTTTTGCTTCTCTACTAAAAAAAAATTAGACTCTCAGATGTTTTTCACTTGTGGTTCACGTGCATCCAAAGAAAATTCAATGTATCTATGAATTTGGATCAGATAAAAATGGCATTCAACCTCTTAATGAAGTATAGGCTTCACTCCATTGCAAATGAGGACCACAAACTAAAAGAGCATTGGCCTTACGTGTAATTTTTTTCACCAAGATGAAGCACAGATATTTTTAAGTCACAGTACACTTCTTTTTAAATATGCATATATGTAATTTATAACCAATACTCAAAAAGTTGAGTACTCATCACAATGTTGTATAATGTTGTAATAACAAACATATGCTTATATTCTAGTTTTTTCATATATTCACAATTGTTTCAATATAATGATTTTCCTTTGTAATTATATGTATTTTATTTTATGTAACAATTATTCTGAAAAAATGTTTTATATGCTTCACTAGCCTGCCAGAAGTGTGGAAGGCAATAAAATGTTAAGAAATTCAGGTTGATGTTGAAACATAATTGAAGAGTCAAATATGCCTTTATGTTTTCAGTTGAATTATTAATAACTAGTAGTCCAAATGATAAACAAATGTTTCTCATTTCTATTTGATTTTACAATTAAATTATATATTATATAGGGTAAGCAGTTGGGAATCCCTACATATAATTGAGCCTAAATGAGATGACTGATTTACCAAAAATATCTTTAAATAATGGAGACACTGTAAACTTTTTCAAATATATAGGTGAGTATAAAAGCAACTGAGTTTTTGCATTGTTGGAATTTGCTGTTTTATACTGGAATACATTATTAAATAAATGTGATTATGTTATACAACATTTTAATTGGCATTTCTCACTTTATGTTTTTTGCTAATGAGTTATCACTTGCTGGTATTTTTTGTTTATTTTAGTCTACAGAAATGATGTTAGACAAAAAGCAAATTCGAACAATTTTCTTAATTGAGTTCAAAAGGGCCATGGGCCAGGCACGGTGGCTCACTACTGTAATCCCAGCACTTTGGGAGGCCAGGGCAGGCAGATCACCTGAGGTCAGGAGTTTGAGACCAACCTGGCCAACATGGTGAAACTCTGTCTCTACTAAAAATACAAAATTAGCCAGGCATGATGGTATGCGCCTGTAATCCCAGCTCCTCAGGAGACTGAGGCAGGAAAATCGCTTGAACCCGGGAAGGCAGAACTTGCAGTGAGACAAGATCATGCCATTGTACTCCAGCCTGGGCTATAAGAGAGCGACTCCTTTAAAAAAAAAAAATACAAAATGGGTCATGAAGCAGTGGAGACAACTCACAACATCAACAAGACGTTTCTCCCAGGAACTGCCAATGAACACACAATGCAGTGGTGTTTCAAGAAGTTTGGTGAGAGCCTTGAAGATGAGGAACACAGTGACTGGCCCTCAGAAGTTGACGTTGGCCAATTGAGATGAATCACCAAAGCTGATCCTCTTACAACTACAGGAGAAGTTGCCAAAGAACTCAGTATTGACCATTCTACAGTCCTTTGGCATTTGAAGCAAATTGGAAAGGTGAGAAAGCTTGATAAGTCAGTTCCTCATAAGCTGATCAAAAATATTAAAAAAAAAAAATCATTTGGAAGTGTTGTGTTTCCTTATTCTATGTAAGAACAATGAACCATTTCTTGATTGGAATTTGACGTGCAACAAAACGTGGATTTTATACAACTGGTGATGACCAGCTCAGTGCTTGGACTGAGAAGAAATTCCAAAGCACTTCCCAAAGCCAAATTTGCCCACTCAAAAAAAGGCCATGGTCACTGTTTGGTGTTCTGCTGCCAGTCTGATCCACCACAGCTTTCTGAATCCTAGCAAAACCAGTATAATTGAGAAATATGTTCAGTAAATCAATGATATGCATTGAAAACTTCAATGTCTGCAGCCAACACTGGTCAACAGAAAGGACCCAATTCTTCTCCATGACAGTGTCTGACTGCACATCACACAACTAATACTTCAAGAGTTGAATGAATTGGGTTACAAAGTTTTACCTCATCCACCATATTCGCCTGACCTCTCACTCACTGATTACCACTTCTTCAAGCATCTGGAAAATGTTTTGTACGGAAAATGCTTCCACGATCAGCAGGGGGCAGAAAATGCTTTTCAAGAGTTTATTGAATCCTAAAGCATGGATTTTCATACTACAGGAATAAACTATTTCTCATTGGCAAAAATGTGTTGATTATAATGGTTCCTATTTTGGTTAATAAAGATGTGTATGAGACTAGTTACAATGATTTAAAATTCATGGTCCAAAACCACAGTTACTTTTGCACCAAACTAAATATACTACTAACTTTGAAATGTTCTCCCAGGCATTGGTATTTCAGTGCCATTGTGTTTTTCAATGAAAGATTACCATTATTTAAAAAAAAAAAAATTAAAAGTCATTTGAAATAGTGAGACTACCTTAAATATTGTACAAATGAGAGGAATAGTGAGAGTTTAGTAATTTGGATATTCATCAAGTGATTTTATACTGCTTTTGTTCTTATTCATTAGTTCATTTATTTACATATTTAAGTGATGTTGTTTAGTGTATGTGAGGAGGGTGATGGTGTGCATGCACACTTCATTTTAGAAAAATAATTATTAGAGAATATGATTTTGTTCAAATATTTGGAAAAATTAGACATAAAAGGGAAAAATGTGGCATATATATTTCTAACTATTGATATTTTGACTTTTAAAGATTTTTTGAAGTAAGATTATAAAAATAATTATTAACACAATTCACTCTAAAGAAAAGAAAAAGAAAATAGAACTAACCTGTATGATTGGGATGAGACAACATTACATTAATGAAATGATTCCCAGCTTCACAAATCTGCAAAACATTTTAAACATTTTCAGTGTGATATACCTCTGCCTATTAAAAAAAAATGTATTCAAGGGACATATAAACTATGTGTAATACATTAATCCCAAAGATTCAAAAGATATATATTTTATTCTAATCATAAGGAGAAGTACTTTTTAAATTACAACAATGAAAGAAGCTGTTGCTGGCATATATAGAATAAAAATAATTAGTCACAACAATTGGAAATTCTGAAGATATTTTTCACACTGATAATCAGGTTTAAACTGTCTTGTTAATCAGCTTTGTACTTGTTACTATGGGAAGACTTTCAGATCATACAGAGACAACTCTTGCTGAAGACAAATTTGGCATAGGTTTATGTTAATCTCAGTTCATAAACAGTAAAACTCTTTCTAGTGAAATGGTGATTGTTTGATTTCCAACTAGTTTCAGTTCAGTTTAGAAAACCTACCGTCAGCAGTGCTGCCACACAAAGAAACCTGCTGCTTATCTGTCAAGACCTCCTTATCATATACACTCTACTGGTTGTCCCTGTTAATAGGCCACTATGTTCCTCCAAGATCAAAGGATTACCACCATCTCCTGAGACTAATAATGTTCCTAGTTTGCAACATGTTTCCTGTGAGGGTAAGACCCTTCCTTTGTCTGCCATATATACCTTATCTGATTTAACACAAGGTATGTATTTGACATATAAATACTATGTTACTAATAACAGAATATATTATTCTAAATCTTTATTGTTTGAAGTCATTCAACTTGTAATATATCCCAAAAGCTGAGCACCCATCAAACTCAGTGTCTTTAATGTTATTAATATCATAAAATATATCTGATTTTGTTCTTTTCAACCATTTCTGTATGTATTTTTCATATATAATAACAGTTCTATGGACTTTAATTTCTGGATGTTTCTCACAATAAACAACTGGTATATATTTCAACACTTTCTAAATTTTAGGGAAAAAAATTGAAAGAGAAAATTTAAATCAATTTTCATCATCTAGAACTGTTATGTAAAAATGCTACTTAAAATAACCAGCTTCAATAAATTAATTCACCCAGGATCTAATGTAAACAAATACACCAAATATATTAAATCCGTATTTAAAGATCCAGAAAACAATGCAAATACAAATTTTGTAGCAACATAACTACACAAAATAATTATAGAAAGGCTTTTGGTTTCTTAAGTTATCATTAGAAAGAAAAAGTGGAATTTCAAATTTTCAGGTAATACGTTTTTAGTTGAAATTTTTACATGTCAATGTGGATAAGTGTGTGGGCTTTTGTGGCATTAACCTGCATTCACATACCACATATTTCATTTGCTATGTATGAAAGATTAAGTAAATTTCACATTTGGAATTTCATTTCTTCACTCAAATGCAAATGTTGATTTCTGTCTCTAGAGAATTTATGATGATTGAATGAAGTCAAGTACCCTGCACATCATATTTGCTCAATAAAATTATTGTGATAATTTTAGTCACCAATTTAATCAGTAAAAACTTCTGCAGATTATCCTACATTAATCTCACTTCTCTAGACTTCATTCTCACAAATCGTTAGCACTACAAAATCCATGATTACTAAACTAATGGTTTATTACATTTCTGTTTAATCTTTGTATCTTTTGTACATCTTTCAACTTGGACAGCTTGTCATATTTATTTTCCATCACTCACAGTGCCAAATACAAAAATAGAAACTATTATATAATGTTCATTAAAAAGCAAGTTAAGTTACCAAAATTTGTGAAAAAATGTTTTCAAAATTAAAATTCTTCTGATGAAACATATTTTTTGAGATTAATATTTTTATACTCATTCAAACATCAAAATATTTTCTTCTTCCTGCTTATTTATCATAACAAAGCTAAATATTGAAGTGTCAATTGTTTAACCAAATAATGAGCCATGAAAAAATAGCATGTAGGTTTTAGTTAGAGACTGGATAGATTTACAATAACACCAAATTTATCATTAGGTGAATCTGCACCTAGAAGAAAATATAATTACATACTAAAATAAAAAAATATGAGAGAAAAAGTAGAAAAAAAAGTGGTAAAGAAGCCAGTTTATTCATCTTGCTATCTGCTTATGAAATGCTTCCATGGTAAGAGTGGGGAGAAAAAAACAACTTTATCTCTATGCTTAGAGATTCTTAAATATCAATTTAGCAACTTCTTAAGGATTTTAAAGAACAACAATAACTAGTAATTTCCATTTTAAGTACTGGTTTTTACACCTTTGGGTGAATCTAATACAGCTTGCAATGTTAACTGAATTAGATAAAACTGGTGATATAATTTTCTTTTAGGTAAGGGTTGAGTAAGATCAAGAAGCTCAGTCAGTGCTGTAAAACTCAATGTATTGTTCTATTACTGATTGTAATTGCACAGCAATTAAATGTGAAACTTTTTCTCAGCATGACATTTATTTCTCAGCATGACATTTATTTCTCCTGGATTGATGTTTATCTAAATGTATCTTCATTTGGCAGACAATAAGTTTAAAAAGAAATTTAATAAACAAAGTTTGGGGCAGATGATATGAAGAAGTTTGATTTTACATTATTAAAGTTAAAATTATCTTACATAATAAAACATGAGATGCTACATATTACCTATGTGTGGCCTTAAGTGACACAGATGATCAAGATATTCTAGACAATAAACACATAATAACATAATAAAAATACTAAGAAAACATTGCCCAGATAAATTTAGAAAGAAATAGTACTTGAACACTACATGTAAGAAGCAGCATCATTTTCCTACACTATAATAGTGTAACAAATTAAGAATATTAAATGGCTTAATAATTTACAATTAAAAATTTTCAATAATTGTACTTTTAGTCAAAAAATTTAACCTATCAAATAAAAAGGTTTACATTTCCTAAACACACTCACAGAATTACAAGCAACCCAGGGACATTGCCAGAACTGCTTCTGTTGTCAAGAACAAGATAGCCTAGATTTATTTAATAAATCTTGCTCTACAATGTGAGTATATTTAACACTAATAAGGTGTACACTAAAATGGTTAAGATGCTAAATATTATGTAATGTGCTTTTTCCCCATAATTAATAAAAAAATCCACCAGGTGCTAGTGTTTTAAGTAATAATGAACTTTAGTATGATACATAATAAAATTTTAAATTAACTTTACATTTTTGGGCACAGGTGTGTATTAAAGCAAATTTGAAAATATTTATTTGTACTTATATAATCTTTATTGAGTAATTTGAATACTTGTTGCTTCAAGCTAGCATTCATTTGAATAATAGCAGAATGTTAATGAATGAATAATCCATTCTATTTTCTAGAGTTATCATTATAAGGATAAATATAAAACATAACATTATCAACCAGTATAATATTGAAGAATCAGTATCTACATACAAAAATAATCTTTTGCTTAAATACTTTGATCAAGAAAGTAAATAAAATAGCTTACTTTTTCAGGACCCTCTATACTCTCATTCTTCTGACCTTTTAATTTTATTTTTAATCAGTACTTCTAAATATTTAACAATGTTCAGTGTAGGACAGTATCAAATTAATAACCTACAAAGGACTTTTGTTGATGTATATTACTAGAAGTGATGTATTATGGAGCATACTGTGCCTATGATTTTTTTCTAAAAGTACACCCTGTTGAATCTCACTCTCTCAGGTTGAAAGACACAATTGAATTATAATATGTGGGATTTCAGCAATAAAGTTGTTCGTCTTTTACTGTTAGGCATTGTGTCTTGGTCAGTAACCCGTTGTCATTGTGGAATGATACAAATTACCAACGACTAAAGCAAGGGGTCGAGGGAGGACAACTTGCAATGATCCACTTTTACAATATTTAAATATTGTTAATTTTTTACAGGCCTCATCAAATTGATCATTCTCTTCCTTAAATAAATGAAAATGATGTATCAATAGAACAAAACCCACATGTCCTAATATAGAATCGGTAGCCATCAATTAGTCAGGCTCTGTCATTTAGTGTTAGTAAAATCCTTTTGGTTTCCACAATAAAAATAAATAATCCTTATACTGCAATCTCACAATATTTTCATAGGAATGAACACGATCCGTTTTATCTTTTAATGTAACCGTTCTCACTTTTATATGTATTGATATTGTATTATTATTAATTTTAGGCAGGTGCTATATATATATATACATATTTTTTGAGACAGAATCTTGCTATAGGGATACTCAGGTTAGAGTGCAGTGGCATGACCTTGGCTCACTACAACCTCTGCTTCCCGGGCTCAAGTAATTTTCCTGCTTCAGCCTCTCGAGTAACTGGGATTAAAAGTGCATGCCACCACGCCCAACTAATTTTTGTACTTTTAGCAGAGATGGAGTTTCACCATGTTGGGCAGACTGATCTAAAACTCCTGACCTCAAATCATCCACCCGCTTCAGCCTACCAAAGAGCTGGGATTACAGGCATGAGTCTGTAGGTGCCCGGCTGACAGGTGCAATATCTTATAATTTTATCATTGGAGCAATAAGTAATAAATAGTCATTGTATTAATTTAATTGAAATGTAGACATTGCTATAATGCTCCTAACACTAATACTTTTCATCTTTTTCCTTTGCCAAACATTTATTCACTGAAAGAAAATAGCTTATGATGCATCTTTAGCAAAGCATACTTATATTTGCCTGTTATAGCTAGACATGCGAATATGTCCTAATAGATATCAATGAAGAAATATGTTGTAATAATATACTCATGGTTTGCTTACAAAGGTGTTTCTCTAATAAACACTTGCTTTCATGGACAAAAAAAAAAAAAGCGTCTGATGAATCTTCAAGAAAGCACACTTACATGTCTTCTAAAACTGGAACTGTAAATCTCTGTAGTATGAACCAATGTAGAAAGAAATGTGATAATAACATACGCTCAGTTTGTTTAGAGTTTCAGTCATTATTCCTTTATCTATAGCAACAATAATAGTAATAATAATAATAACTATATCTTATGTTTTATTTGTTATACCTGAATAAATACTTCAAAAATAAGGACAATTGTAGCTAAATATATTATTACAAAGTTTCACTTAGGAAATTTATTAACTATTTTGATCTTGGACAATTCAATTTCTACTTTAATAGATCATGCATATCCACATAGACTTAACTGCTTTTGACAATGTAAGCTAGTATCACAATGCTTCAGCATTCATAAATATTTTTTCTTATGATAATTTTTATTACTAAGTTCATAAATTTACAGACCTTTTTCAATTTGCACTTTCTGCACCTCTGTTATGTCTATTATGAAGCTCATTCATACATATTTCTATGTTTTATACAGACATAATGATAACATGTATTGTGCTTTAAAATAAATACATTTAGTGTTAATTTTGGGTTTAACTGAAAATATATATACTAACCAATATATTTTCACTTTTCAAAGTAAACAATGGTAAGACTCTAAATAAAAGTTCAGATGTTGCGTTTATATTCTTGCATAATGTGAAATTATATATCTAAATATTTTAATGTATTTTATGAATTTATTTGTTGCCTGAAACAGTTATTTTATGCATAAACTTTGCTATAGGAGATGCTATTATCAATCAATAAAAATAATTCAAATCATTTGATTTTGGAATTTACTTAAGGCTTAAAATTATTTCATCTCTACTATGATGCTCCATTTCATTATCACAACTTTGGGAACACCAGAATTATTTTTTAATTTATAGAGCTCTCATGCAATACTGTATAACACAAAAATATGAAAATATAGCATAAAAATAGCACCATAAAATAAATCTCTTCAGAAAGAAAGTTAGTTTACATATACTAACTCTGCAGTAAATGATGATTAAAAACATACATGATTTTTTCACAGTTCTTTTTACATTAGATTCAATATCACATATTCTAACAAATGAAATCTTTATAGTTTTATAATCACTGCTGATTTTTATTTAAATCATTACTCTTATATTTCTACAATTTGGAGTAAGTTAGTCGTAGTTCAAAATAGACAATTATTATAAGTTATAATGAAATGAGTGAAGCACAATATTGCCATTAATTTTGTATCTTTAGTCAACTAGTTTGCAAAATAAATCTTTAATAAGTAATGATCCCCAAAAATTTAAGTATAAAAGTTGGTTCCTATGCATGTTATTCTTTATATCAGATGCTTCAGGAAATTTGAGATGAGAGCAAAATGGCAAATGATGAAAACACACAGAGTACTAGACTTTGTTTTCAGTCAGTAAGTATAAATCCTTTTATTGGTACCTATCAATGGTAGGTAAGTGATCAGAAAATGTGTCACAACCAAATCTCAGTAGACTGCTGAGAATGAAAGCACTGAACTTTGGCACCCCTTTTTTTTTTCATGTATCTTATCCATAAACGCCAAATTTCATGAGCAGTTTCTTGGCCTTTGTGTGGTTTATATAGTAAAGGCTTGCTCTCCTGTTTTAAAAGCTATGATAAGTTGTTCCCAGCATCCTCTCCACTAATCAATGACCAGTTCTGTACCCGAGGTTGTTTTCAGCTAAATATTACAAAAAGAGGTGTACCTACTTGATAAAAGCATATTTTTTTCTTCTCCAAGATTATTTGCATTTTAGGAATAATTTTAAAACACGTAAGTGACTGAATGACTAATGAGAACACTGAAGACACAGAGGCAAAACCAGGGAAAAGAGTTATTTTAATTACTTTGTAAGTCATGTCTTATATTTTATTATCAATTCCTCCCACTTCCTTCATTTTGAAGACATTAAGAAAGGGAAGAAAAGGAGTTAGTTTTTGGTAAAATCCTCATTCTGCAAAGAATTGGCAAACTTTAACAGCTTCTGGAGAGTAAACATAAAGTTAAGGGGACAAGAAGATAAAGAAAAAAGGCAGGTTCTTTATATAAAGTACATTTTGTTTTGCAATTGTGATTTTGTTATTTTTGTTTGTTGGCTTTTGAATGTAATTGGGTTGAGAGGATGAGGCAGAGTCATGGAAATATAAAGAGATCAAATTATAAAACGTATTCACAATATTTACATCAGACAAACAAGATTGCATGTAAAATTTGTGTGAAAAGTTATTCTGATGCCTTCATAATTTGCCTGTATTTGATTCTCCTTAATTTTTCCTGTAGATTTGTCATACCTGGACGTATCTGAGGAATCAAACTTGTGTTGAAAGTTAGAAATAATTTAAACCAAGGGAGAAGTGATAGACTATTTCTTTGAATATAATAGAGAGAGGAAAAAACCTCACCAAAATCGAAGAATTTTCCACAAAATAGGAGCCTGATTTTACAACATATTATGTACACATTGTAAATTATTTTGTTTTCCTTACAATATATTTTGCTTAATATGAATCTAATATGTCTTATATTAGATTCAGTTTCCTAACACTAATATCTTAACATCATATATTATTTGTGAAAGTTAAATATGTCTTAACAGTAAACACTACTAAGAAATTTCAGGACTCACAAGTCTTCTTGATTTCTCATGACAACTCATGTGTGTAAAAAAGTCACAGTGGCCATTCTATCTTATTTCTAAATTTTGCTTTTCTATGGAATGTAACTACATTCAATATTTTCATTTTTAAGTGAAGTTTTCACCTATACTTAATATTATACTATCTATAATTAAAGCACAGGTTTTAATTATATTACTTTCCATTTAAAAAAAAATATTTAAATCTAAAGATTATAGAAATTTAAAGTTTATCAAATTGTTAAATCTGTTATTGAAATAGACAATGCTTGTTACGTGCTTAAATGTGGAATTAAAGTATCACATTTACCTACTTTATCTCTATTGGACATAGTCTATTACACCATCTATCAGTGTTTGTTTAATTTAGCATCTTGGGCTTTATTAATTTTTGCTTGAGGCTGTATGAAATGTACTTGATTAATAAAGTGCTATGTGAAGAGGAAAAAGCAGTAGCTTAATAAGAAGGCAGAAATTTTGAGTCTCTGGGAAAAAAAAAGTATAATTGCAAGCTATTAGAATTTTGCTTATGTCTAATTATGTCTCAATATTTTAAGAAAAATATTATAACGTGTATAACATAACTTTTTAATAAAAGATATGACTTTCATTAAAAGTTTTATTTTATAGTATAGTCATTCACATTTGAGAAGAGGGAATAAATACATACATAGCCATATTATATTGGAGAAAAGGGAAGAAATCAATAATATTATATGAAAAGGGAGTTGTCTTAATTACACAGAAAAAATTATAACCCACTTTTTTTTGAAAAAGTGGACAACATCATAAGGATAAAAAGCAGAGGAATAATCAGATATTAATCTAAAACATACTAAAATTACCCACAAATAGGCAGTTATTATTTTTTATCCATAAATTTATTCTTCTCTTCCGTCAGATTTACTGAGTAGTTAATATCAGAACATTAGTCTTAATACAAGAGGGGTTGTAGTACACTGTATACAACATTGCATAACGCTGTAACAACACATGAACCACAGAATTCCTCTCCTTGAACAGTATGCACTATTGGAAAATTACAAGGCTGTGATATATTTTCAACATATTGTTGAAGAAATTCCAAATACATAAATATTCTGTGCCATTTATTCAAACAAATAATGAGTTCCTGCTATGCCAAACTATATGCTGAAAAGACAAAAACAAGATCTGTCCTTTTCAAAGCCAACACACTGGAGTACATACTTACTTAAACTATTAACTAAAGATATGTAGAGAGAGAGAGAAAGCAAGAGAGGGTCATGTGAGAACTCCTTACAAAGTGTGGTGGGTGATTTATGACCTGTATAAAATGGTTAGAAATAAGTTGTTGAACACAAACTTTGCAAGAAATATGAATTCGGAGATGAATTATAGGAGTTCACTAATTTATCAATGACAGGGATGAAAGGAGAACATGAACACAGAATGAAAGCAAGGAGTTATAGAGCATATAAGCATTAAAAAAAAGTGTCAGATGAAATAATTAATGCATTTTAGAAATAATCAAGAGTTTTGGGTACCCAGATTGATTTTCACACAATTTTATCTATATACATGTTTATTTACGTAGAACAATCTAAAGAAATTGAATGAGAACAGTTTAGAAAGGGCCAGGTTTTATTAAAAAGGCAAACTCTGTGTTCATCTTGAATTAGTTAAATTAACAATTATGCCAAAGTGTTTTTGAGGTGTTTATCTGTAAGATTTGCAAACAATTTTTGCTCTTTATAGGTTGGTAAATGTGCATACAGTAGGATCACTGAATATATATTTTTCAAATATTTATTATATTTCAAATAATACTAATCAAACGTTACAGATGACTACAACATTTTGATTATAAAATTTAGAGAGCTAAATACTTGATTATAGAAAGTTATTTTATTTACTTCATTTTATATCATTACGTATATTATATAAATATATATCATATTTTCTACATGGCAAATCCTCAGATACAGTCTGTTTTTCTTCTTAATAATAACAAAATTAGAGCATGAATAGCAAAATATATATGTGATACATACCAGAAAATTGATAGCAGATACTGTGATTTGCCTGTTTCCAAATGCTGGAGAATAGAAAAAGAATATGTCATGCAGATACTCATAGTTTGGATTGTCAAACATATAGACATAATTCAGTCAGTATTTATTGCGTATAATTATTCTATAATCAGTAGAACTGTCTAGTATGTAATTCACCTTTTGGGATGATACTTTTGCAATCTAAAGCGTTGACTTTTTTTTCCACATGTACTTTTTTTTTTTAGTATCATAATGTTATTTAAATTACAAATGGAATATATTACTAATTTGTATTATTAAACACCTTGAAGGCAGATTTAGTATTTGTCCCATTTAAAAAGCACACTTAAGTATGGCTAAGCATATAATGGCACACAAAATAACTCTCATTTTTAATGTTTAACAATAAAAAGAAAAATGCTGATTACAGTCATTTGTTTTATATATTGATGTTTTGTAACAGGTAGAATTATAAGTATTTTATATTTTTATTATACAAAATACATGATGTATTACTTGTCTTACCTTAAAATAAAGAAAAATATAGGTTAAGTTCCAAAGGGCAGATAAAGAGTAATGTAGAAAGCACCATTCAAAGCAATGTTCTAAAGGCAGGGTTGTTCATGGTGGAAACGTTGGAATATTCAATAATAATAAAAATAGAATATTTGATAAACTTATCATCATGTTTATTAAGTTTCATTCCTATCTTCTTGTTTTGTGTATGTGAGCATGTAAATTGTATTTATGTAAACACATTTACATCTACATATAAAAATATTATCCCTCATTTTAAAACGTGCATTTTTCACCAAACAATATGTTTAAAGGTTTTTCAATATTACTAAACACTCATTGTCATAACTGTAATTGAATCTTCATAATAATGCATGACACGGCTAGCTCTTAAAACATTAATTATGGAATGACTGAAAAGTTCACTTTAATTTTATGTGTGATAAATAATACTGCTTTGAACATCTTTATGTATAAATCTTTTACTAAATTCTGTTTTTCTGGGGTAGAAATTTAAAAGTACATTTTGGTTAAAGGTTATATAAGTATTTTTCATAGATAAATATTCATAGAATATGTATACAAACCACATGTACATGAATTGGAAGTTTTGTTTTTGTGAAGTTTGTATATCTAATAGTAAAATAAAATATATTAACAGAGAATATTTGAGAAATAGAGAAAAGTGGTAAGGGCAAATAAAATGGACAAAAATCTCATCAACCATAGAAAGTCAGTGAATATTACAATTTTCCCCCTTGACATATTCATATATGTTGTATATTTTTATAATATTTGATATAACAATTGTATAACTTTTCTCTTAACATAATGTTACACCACTTTTGCCATATAATTAAACATTCTGCTCTTGACAAATCACAATTGGTTGATATGCATCTGAATCAGCCATAATTATTTTATTTATACCTACTATTCAATGTAATTTTACTCATTCAACTATAGTTATCAAGAATTCGCATGACAGGCACTGAACTGTGTGCTTGTGATAAACTACAGGAAAAGATGAAGGCAATCTTAACTGAACTTATATTCTGACCTGGAAAAGTACTAATCACATGATAACAAATGGAAGTTTGCAAGATCGATAAGTGCTACTATACAGACCTATGTAGTATTTAATAAAATAACCAAAAAGGATATTTTGTAATATGGGAGATCACGGAGGATTCTTCTAAGTACACAATTAAGCTTTGATTTATAAAAATGGATAGGCATTAATATAAAGAAGAGAGAGTTCAGAGCACATTAATCAGAGGACAGTAAACATATGCCTTATTCTTATTTTTAAATGAAAATGAAAAATGATGTGATAATAAAAAGTATCAAGTGAAGAGTCTAACATTTTTCATATTTATTTCCAAAAAAAGTTATAGGTAATGTAAAAAGAAATAAACTTTCTCTTTACAATAGTCATTATAACACTTATTATTTAATAATATTTTATAATTTATATAATGTTTCACATTCAGATAGGTAAAAATAACCTAATAGGCCATTATTCTTTGATTATGTTGAGAGTAGACATTTATATATTAAGATTTTTGAACCTATACATTCTGATATGGGGATATTAAAATATTCCTGCCATTGGGCAGTTTTACACTTTTGATAACGTATTTCATTTATTTGTATTTAAATATTATTCAAGAAGTTGGAAAATAAATTTTCTAGTAGAATATGTGTTGGAAATATGCATACAACATGTTTTTCAATTAAGTTAGCTTTTATGTATTAATGTACAGATGCTATTAACTTTATGAGGCCAAATTTGATGAGAATAGATTGTGGTGATAATTGTGATGAAAGTCAAACACTGTTATCAAGGAGAATTAAGAAAGAAATTGGAAAAAGACCGGTTGGCATAGAGCACAAAGAACAGTAGTGTGAACTATGACAACAAAAACAACAGAAAACCAGAAAAAATAATAATCATGGCCATAATGTAAGAAACAATATCTTAAATTAAAGACTTCATTATGTATGCTGAAGGGACATATCTTATATAAAGTGAAAATAAAGAACATGTGATTAAAGATTAAACAGGTCCAATAACTTTTCTTTTTCTAATTTTGAGGGTAAAATGAGGGAAACTATGTTGTAAGCATGCATAATTTAATGAAAATTTTCAAGAGGAACAACATAAAAATTGGATCAATTTTCTGTTTTGCAACCTTAAGCAGATGGATTTAATGCAGCAAAGTAAGATATATTAAAGCAAAAATTAAAGGAATTATTGATTTATGTGAATTGTTTCATTTCATCTTCCTTAAATATGATTATTTATTAAGATTATAAGTGTTTTGCTGAAAATAGGTTTAATATGTACTATTTTCTTTTTTGTTACCTTGTCATAGTTGCTCTATAATTATTATTATATATTTTACTGTTAAAATAATGTAGGAAGTGCTTTTAAATATCACCTCATTTTGTTTTAAAATTTTTTGTGTGCTTATATTGTATTTTTAAGGTTTATTTTATCTCATCTAAAGATAATGTAGTTTGTGCTATTTTTACTTTGTGAGTACAGAATTGATTTTTTATGATGTAATATATAATCAATTTGTAAAATTAAAATAAATCTATTAATTATAATCAAAGTGTTGAAAAGGGAAAATATTCTATCAAAGTCTTAGAAACTAATAAGAAATGAAAGGGAAGGTCTTTTGCCCCATAAATATAGAAAAGGGTGAAATTTTACAAAAAAAAACAATGAATGGCATAAGCATGGAACAAATTAGAGGGAGTCTCTGGGTCCTGTTATTTGTCAAAAATGTGTATTAGGTATCCTAAGCCCATATAACTAACACTTTAAGAAATAGGAGGCTCTACTATCTGAGTCAAAACTCAAGATAAAGGTGACATGCTTATTTTTGTGAAGGGGATCTCCATGATAATGTCTATGCAGAATTTATGTGTCTGACTGACTGTGGATTGGCTAACCTCTTGCACAGTTTACTGCTATCTGTAGCTACGTTATAGATTCTTTTCCACTTATTTGCTGAGTAAATTTGGAAAATCTGCCTTTATTTTCTGAAGTTTAGCTATTCATCTGTAAAGTTGGGATACAAACAGTATAATTTTCATGTGGATTCAATGAGACAAAATGTGCCAACTGCTTAGCATTGTACCTAATAGGAAGCCTTAACAAAAGTTAATTTATAGTTTCTCTGTTAAAGGAAAAAGCAACTTATTCTATCATATACTGTTTTAGAAGTCATATTATTATTTAACATGATTTAACTAAAGCATAATGGCTATAGCTCATGTATATTACAACCATGTTAAGTGTGGACTTCCTAGGCAAGATATTCATTTTCCACTTGTCATCAGTATTAAAATGCTATAATGCATTTTCACAGAATTTGAGTCCTACTTATATCTTATGCATTTAAAGATCTTGAGCATAGTGAAATTATCTTTTCATGGCATCATTTTTCTAGCCTTCAATAGGGAATATTAAAGTCACAAAATAATGTTTTAAATTAAAAATATATAGCATATTTACAGTTATTAACAAACATTCAGTTTTCAATAAATGTTTTACATATATTAACAAAATTAATTACTATTATTATTTTGTACCCAATATGGAAATGAAGAATTTTGCAGAGGCATATCTTATTAACATAGTCTGGAGCAATACATCGATGTGTTAAGGTTATAAAGATAATAAGTACATCTTATAAAATATTTGAAAAATTAGAAGATACAGGAAATTTTCACTTTCAATATTCAGAGTTAATTGTTACTATTAAGACCAGCTGAAGTTTTAATCACTGAAATCAATGACTTCACTTTCCAGACTGAACTAGATTTGTTGATTTTAGTGAAGGCCCTGAACATTGTAACTCTATATTACAACTTCAGCCAAGAAATTAAGGAAGTTTAAGTGATTTTCTAAAATTAAAAATAAAGTTTGATTATACCATTTATTTCCATTTATTTTAAACTTTGTAAACACCAGAAATAGCCTGCAAAAATAATTGTCAAATAAATGAGAAACCATTTAATTATTGAGTTTTACATTTTGTGCCTTATGTGCTACAGAAAAACTGAGGAGAGAAAAGTCCACATTGAAGGAAGAAATGAAACTCCTTGATGAGGGCAACCTTTTTTCTTGAAGATTAAGAACCAAAGAATTAGATTTCATCCAGTGTACATTCAACCAAATTGTTCATCTGAGTCAAGAGCCAAGATACTTTAGTAAATTAAATCATAAACAGAAACTATTATGTAACAGAAAAATTGTCCCCTATTTTTGGTTGAATTACATTTAAAAGAATAATTAAATGTTTATCATTTACTTTTAAAATACCTGATAGCTGATTAGCATATGATTGTATAATTATATAATAATTCTCCTTTTAATTGTTGCTTTTTTATTTTATTAGCTGTTTTTTTAGAGGTTTACAACCTACTAATGTTTTTGGTGGTTCATGTAGAAACAAAATAAATAAAAATATATGGGTCAAATTGGTCTTTTAGGCCTACATAAACATTTAAAGAAATATTAAAGCAATTTTAAAACAAATTGTTTCATTTTTTACTTATTCCTTTATCCTCTGCTCTTCATATTATGTATGTCATTTAGAATAGAGTTTTTAGGTTGTCCTTTAGTACAGGGTTAGTTAAGAAGAAACCCTACATACATGGTGGTGTATACAGTGGATGATTAATGTAGTAGGCAATCCAAGAAGTAAATCCCCAGTAAAAGGCACAACTCTGCAAGCAAAACAAAACAATATAAAAGTTAGGAAAAATATGTAATATGCATTTCAATTGTGACATAAACATTTATATTATATGCATGTCACAATTTGAAACCACCCCATACATTTATATTAGACACTGCAGCATTTATACATAAAATGGTACAAATTGTCTAAGCTAAATAAATGGAATATTTCTTTGCACAATATAATAGTGAGAGAGAAGCCAGGTAGGGGATAGTTTGGCAGGCAGAGAGGGAGGGTCTCAGGAGAGGGCCAACACCTGTGGACTGTGTGCCTGCACTGCCCCTGTTACGCAGTTAGCAGGAGAAAATATGGTCAAGAAGTTCCTGTTATACCAAGATGTTTGCACAGAAGGGACTTTCCATCCACCCACAGTGGCACAGACAAGGACCGGGGGTGTCCTAAAATGATCCTGACCACATTATAATGCTATTAGCATTGTGCTTTAACCCTCCCCACTCCATGGGTTTCTCTTAGGCACTCATGAGTAATAACCAAGATGGAGTAGCTATAGCCAACCCTAGGCATGCAGGCATGCACAGATGCAACACTCCTGGGGGGAATTTTACCCCTCCCCTTAGGGTGGACCCCACAAAAGACTTCCTTGCCTTTGCCACATAAAAGACTGAGGACTCAGCCCCATTTCTTACAACCCTATTCTGGTCCCCTGTTGCTGCTGAGAGCATTTCTATTGCTTAATAAATGCTACTCTGCCTTATGCACTCTCCGGTGTCCATGTTCCTTATTCTTCCTAGTCGTGGGACAAGAACTCGGACCTCACTAAACTAAGGAATAAGGAGACAGCAAGATTTTGCGGGATTGCTCGGGATCATGGGCAGGGTGAAAAAGAGCAGACTTCTTTACTTCCATTTCCAAGAGCTCTTGGTTCTCTTTATTATATGAAACCAAACAAAGCACTGGACCTCTGTCAGCTAGTTAAGAGTGAACAACAAGGCTGTTGCTCCTACAAGACTCAGAGGACAAGCTTACTGATGAGGACTTTGTCAAAACTTCTTCATCCATGGGTTTTGGCTATGTTCATTTTGTTCCAATCCAGTTTCCTTTCATGAAGCTCTAGCTGTTGTGTGGGACTTAGAAGGATGTCCTGGGGCAACTGAAGGTGTCTGACTGAAGCTACATTTTGGTGTTATGCAAAGGTCCTTGGACTGGTTCCAGTCCCTGACAGCCCATTATGGTGTTGGATAAAGATTTCCAGTATTTTCTATCACATTTTCTTTCTTTTGAGACTATGATGGTTGTTCTCCCTTCTTTATATTCAATGTTATGTATGTTTTTTGCAAGCAGGAGAGATAATATTATTGGGAAAATTGAGTAGCTTACCTACTCATCAGAAGTGTAACCCAGAACAACGTCACTTTTACCTGTTCTTAGAACAAGGGATATATGAAGATTTAGAGAGTTTCCTTTCTCCTGTCAAGGAGACTGACTGGCACTGTACAGAAGGCTATTTCTCCCTGGGTGACTATTTTCCTCTCCATTTAGGCTGCTTCTTTGTTTCCATGAGAGATGTCAGCAATGCTCAGTAAGCACAGAAGTGTACACTATGCGAGAAATCAATTTTCTTATTCTAGGAGGCTTATTTTGAGGGATGCACACCAAGCCCCAAACTCCTCTCTTTCAAACCTCTGTATGAAAAGGATTTGGACATAAAGTTATAGGCTAACATTCCAAACTTTGTCAAGGTGCCTGATAAGGCAAGGATTTGTTTCTGTGGATCCAGGGGAGCCCTAATTCCCTGGCTACTAGCACACAGAATTAGCCAAGCCAACCCCTACATTTTCAAAGACACCTATTCTTACTCCAAGAATAACAACCCCTGGGCAGGAAGAAGGGACTAGTTTTGGAGGTCGGTCACTTTCATTTCCTTGAATGCTATGATCTGGCTCTGTCCATCACCTATCAGTCAATGGATGCTCCTTAAAGATTTAAGGACACCCACCTCCAGTAATGTTTCTTGCCCCAATTCAATTACTTCAATGTATTTTCCAAGTTTCAAGTGGGAAGCTTTGGGTCTGAAGCCCAAAAGAAGAAATAGATCTGAGGGACCCCAAAGGTAGTCAACACTGGAGAGCTAGGGTGCAGCATAGGTAAGTGTGACTATTCCTACCTTCCAGCCCTCATGGTCTGTTGTTGGAGGTCACACTTGCATCCACAGGTGATACCTATATAGGTTGCTGGAACCCAGAGGATACAAGGAGGAGGAGAGGAGAAAGGAGATGCCTTTTCTCTCTCTGTCCCACTCCAAGTTCACCCTAAAAGTGGAAGATAGACTAAGGAATGCCTTTTCTCCCCTCTCTTTCCATATGTATAACAATCCATCTTCAACCTGCACTCCCCTTAATAGCAACCTAGATCATTGGGACTCCTTTTACCCTCAGACTCTAATGTTCACTCTGGACAAGTCCCAACATCACTCATTTATAGAGGCCTTCCAGAATTTAACCCAGGTATTTAAACTGTTCTAAAAGAATGATATGCTACTCTTAAATCAAACTCTGATGACTGCTGAGAAACAAGCAGCCTTGCAAGCAGTAAAGAAATTTGAATATGAGCTTCGTACTCATATAATATCAGAGACAGGAGAAGGCCTTAACCAGTTGGAAAGACAGCAATATCATTGAAGGACCCTAAATAGGATCCTAATGATAATACGGGAGAATGGAGGAATAAGCACTTTCAAATGTGCATACTGGAGGACTTACCAAAGACTGGAATTAGGACCTTATGAGAATCCCTCTGCCTTTCTGGAACTACACCCTCTCACAGCCTGAAAAAGCCAGAGCAGTTATCTCCCTGTTCCTCCTAATGGTAGTTAGGGTTAACACTCCAGAGTGGGGAATGAGAGAGGAGGTAGATAGGGACTGATTTGGCAGATAGAGATGGAGGGTCTTGCAAGAGGGACAATGCCTACAAGAACACACCTGTACCACCCATGTTATGTAGCTGGCAGGAGGAAATGTGGTTGAGAACTTCCCCCTATACCAAGATGCTTACTCAGAAGAAACTCTCCAGCACAGGTGCACCCATGCAGGTGCAGACAAGAACCAAGATGCATACTAAATTGATCCTGATCCTGAACTCATAGTGCCATTAGCATTGTGACTTAACCATCCCCCCTCTGCAGGTTTTTGTTTGGCACTCATGGGTAATAGCCAAGATGGAGTATCTATGGCCAACCCCAGGCATGTGCCGATGCAATAACCCCAGGGGGAAATTTAACCCTCCCCTTAGGGTGTAAGCCACAGAAGACTTCCTTGTCTTTGCCACATAAAAGACCCAGAATTCAGCCCCATTTCTGGCAACCCTCTTCAGGTACCCTTTAGCTGCTGAGAGCTTTTCTGTTGTTTAATAAATCCCACTCTGCCCTAACCACTGTCTGGTGACCATGTGTCTTATTCTCCTTGGTTGTGAGACAAGAACTTGGACCTCACTAAACTAAGGCATAAGGAGATGGTAATAGTAGCATTTTACAAATACTATTTTGATATCACTAAGAAAATGCATTTCTTTGCTCCACTTGTACTAATATTAATGGATATTTGTGATATATGTCAAGTTAACAGAATATTTTAGAAAAATTTGATGAGAATTATTTTGTCTAGCAAGTAGTAAATATAAATGAATTACTAAAAATAAAACATAAATTATCAGTTGCATAAGATACACTAAAATTTTTCCAACAATTAGTTCATTTATAAAATAAATTATTTGATAATTGATAGTAACACATGTTGATTGACTGGAACGGAAATGACTCGGATTTAGGAGTCGTAGTCTATAATGGTGATCTTGAACTGATCTGATTAATTGTACCATTTTCTATAAAAAAAAAAAAAAGCAGGCCTAAATGACTTCTGAGGTCTCAGAATTTCAGAGTTTACTGCTTTATTGCAATGATAACAATAGAATGGCTCTTCTGTTGTAATATTACAAAGCAGATATTTGACAAAAACCAGGAAGTTTTTTTGTACAGATAAACCTTTTTCTGAAAATAGATTTTAAATTGAAAAACAAAATTTAACTTAAATTGAAAATTGAGTTTCAACATGTTGCCTAATGTACTTTTCCATGTCCATATTTTACATTTTTTCTCATGTTTTGGTAGTTGATAGTTGATAACAGTTGCATTCACAATTTCTAGAAGAGCAAAGACACTAGCATCATATTGACAACTGCCACAATAATGGAATATAGTATCACCATTTTCATCCCACACAGATGTATATTTGTAGGAACATTCATATATGATATTCTTCACTTTGAGTGTCACTCAAAGAATCTGAATTCAATGCTTAGTATTACCAAAATTAAAAGATTCCTAGGAGTATCTAGTTTATCTTGTAATATGAGGTAATGACAAGTCTTTCTTTAGTGTTTAATTTGAATTAAATATATCATGAAAAAAATGACATTTTAGGAAAGGAATGTTTAAGACATGCTTATACAATTAAACATGAAAATCTAAGTTTTGGAGGGAAACAATGATTAAATATTTTGCAAAGGTGCCAACATATAAAATGTCTCAATCATTATTAAAAATACAAAGCATCCTCACCATTATCAAATTTTTCAAAGGTGTGTGTCCTGCAGAAACTTTGTGAACAAATAAGGTTTCCAAAAGGTATCGGATGTAGTGTATACAATGACAGAAACAAGCCAAGCTGGAAAAAAAATAAAACATAATCATGAAAATCCTTTTGAAATTCTGGCTTGTCTCATGCATGGTACATTTTAATTTTTTTTTTGGTTTATTATTCTAGCTATTAGGAAACATTGTTTCTGGTAGCTAAAACACAAATGCTTGGTTTAATATTTTATTTTCAAAATTTTCAAAATTTAGCAATAAAAATAGCTGTTATAAGAGTCTCCATAAATTTACTTCTGACGACACTAGAAATATTTTATAATACCAGTCATAAGCTGTTATGCTCACACCTGTCCCCGGAGTAGGTATAAATATAATAATTGCAAATATGTTCATATCAAACTGCCTCGACTGACACAGACAATTTACAAGTTTTAAAAATATCCAAAGCCTACTTGGAATGCATTTGACATTTTATAATATTCAGAATAACTTTTTAATTGTTTGGTTGTCCTTTAGCAAGCACTAAGATTGAGAAAGTTTAAACTGCATTTTCTGTGCAGTAATAATGTAGCTTTGTGCTTTGTTTTTGTTTTTTTTCCTACCTAATATTGTAATATTTTGTCTCTTTGTGTGTTTGTTTGTGTTGTACTCTAAGTTACCACTTCTTCTTATCATTTTTATATAATTATTATCTTAAAAATAAATGTAAAATGTGATTGATTTACAGCGGTGTATTTTTCTGAATATATTATAAAGAATGTATTTTTCATTAAAATTTGTACCTATTTTGTTATACATAAAAATGTGAAATCTCAAAACTTTGGTTGCTGTTAAATAAATCAATACGGATCAAAGATGACATACTTTTTGTGTATTGTTTGTTTTTGTTTTTAGAGACAGGATCTTGCTGTGTTGTCCAGGCTGCAGTGCAGTGGCATGATCATGGCTTAAACTCTCAGGCTCCAGCAATCCTCCCACCTCAGCTTCCTGAGTAACTAGACTATAGGCCCATGCCACCATGCTTGGCTAATTTTTTTTGTATTTTTTGTAGAAACGGGTTAAACCTTGTTGACCAGGCTAGTCTCAAACTCCTGGGCTCAAGTAATCAACATGCCTGGGGCTCCCAACAGGCTGGGATTACAGGCATGAGACACCACATCCAACTGATGACATACTTCAACCAGTAAAGGTTGAGCATAAAAATCAGCATATCATTTACTCTATATAATAATACAATCAGACATTGAGTTTATTTATAAATTTGGGAGTTGATTTTAGTGGAAATGATTTCTGGTATGAGTAGGGGGAATTTAGGAAAAACAAATAATAAACACTAACCTAGTTAAGTCAGCATCAAATTTATCATTATTCATAAATTGATAAAAACAAAAGTTTTCACCTATTATGTAACATAAATGTTTTATGTGGTGGTGATACCTATAAGTATAATGGTAGACAAATTCTGAAAAAGGTGAGAGAGCAAGCAATGTGAATATCTGGGGGAAGAGCTTTCTAGAAAGTCAGACAAACAAAAGCAAAAGTCCAGATACAAGAAGCTGCCTTGTGAGTACGAGTACACAGAGTAGGTAAGGAAATTGTTATCTCTACTCATTTTATTGTTCTTTTGTAGAAGTAGTTACAAAAACCCTTGAATAGTAATTTTTTTGTTTTGTTTTATAAAAAAGCAGCAATGTAGCAGAGCCCTAAGTGAGAAATTTTGGTTCAAGCTATGATCTGTCTAAGTTCGTACATTCACTTATTTTACATTATACCATGAGAGCATAGAAACCCCATAGAATGTACAGCTAGAAACTTAGTTTATATATATGCCACCATGCACATCACTGCATGGTGATGCACCAAGTTTGATTTTCTTTCAAAATATTATTATTCTTTTTAATTATGTTTAACTTCCAAACACTGATTATTTTCTGTTGATTGCTAAATTAACTGTAAAACCATAAATAGGTGTGAATCCGATTCTTTTTCCGAACCAAAATATTGATAACATCTTATTTATTTTAAATCAAGTAAGGTTCAGGATATGAGGGCACAGCACAGAAAAGCACAGCTTCAACTTTACAAACAGCAAGGGAGGCATGGCACTACACCAGGTTTCTGGTTTCTGTTGAATAAGACAAGGAAATGTTCAGGTAACAGATTCATAAGATACTTGATGCGGATACAGTTCCTACAGGAGATATGCCTTTAGTCCCAGTGTGTGGAGGTTTCTAAGAGATCTGAAGAACTTTGTGGTGGTTGGGTCACATATAGAAATCTGTCTTCTATCTGAACTTAGCAGAAAATTCTTTTGACATTATAATATGATTCAAAGCAATTTTGGAGACAACATTTTAATGTGTTTCAACTGGACGTGGCATTTAAGAATTCATCTTAAAACAACATCATCCTGAATATTAGGTAACAGAAGCCCTGTGGTTATTTTCTAAATCCCTGCTAGATACCTAAATTTCAAAAGTAGTTTGTGTATCAGCTGTGGAATTACTTTATATAAACTTTGCATATTTGTTATTTGGGAACAATGTGGCACAAATACATTCATCACTGAGATACTACCAAGCATGCTGTATTTGTGTTTAAGAATAGTACGGCTGTTGCAGTGGTGCATGCCTATAATCCCAGCACTTTGGGAGACTGAATCTGGAGGATCCCTTGAGCCCAGGAGCTCAAGAACAGGCTGGGCAACATAATGAGACTTCATCTCTAAAACTTTTTTTTTTTTTTAAACATTAGCTGGTTGTGACGGTGTACACTTATAGTCTCAGTTACTTGGGGGGCTGAGGTGGGAAGATGGCTTGAACCCTGAAGAGTGAGGCTGAAGTGAGCCATAATTGAACCACTACACTCTAGCCTGGGCTTACAGAGCAAGACCCTGTCTCAAAAAAATAATAATAATAAATGGCAAATATGAGTCAATTCCTTTGAGAATGATACTAAGAGACCATCCTATACATGGTCTCTTTTAGAAATAATTGGTCATTCCTTTCACTTAAGAAAATGTGAAGAGGTACCTTTCGCCATAACTGTAAGTTTATTGAGGCCTCCCCAGCCTTGTGGAACTGTGAGTCAATTAAATCTTTTTTTTTCTTTATAAATTACTCAGTCTTGGGTATTTCTTCATAGCAACATGAGAAAGAACTAACACAGTAGCCAATCAGGACAAGAAAGGAGGTCCGTGTGGCTGAAGGACTGTAATTAAAGGTAGGCAAAACTTGATTTGAAGTAAGAAAGTTAGGATGAAATTAGTTCTCTTTTAGCATCCATATGACCTAAATACTTACAATTTGCTTCTTAATTCACTTGGAGTTTATTTAATGCGTAAAATTTGTTCAGGTCTTTTTTTTTTTTTCCCCAACAAATTTCCCTTCCCACATCCCACTATGGCATCCTGAATAAATATTCTCTTTTGGTTTAATTTGGCATGTATTTCTTATAGAGAGAGAGATTTTCACAATATGCTAAACACCACAATTACATAGAATACTTTGTTTATTGCCTTACTCTTTTTTGGTCATATTTCAAAAAGGTATTTAATTTTGGATTTTGACTTATAAAAAGTAACTTGTGGCCGGGCGTGGTGGCTCATGCCTGTAATCCCAGCACTTTGGGAGGCCGAGGCGGACGGATCACGAGGTCAGGAGATCGATACAACCCTGGCTAACACGGTGAAACCCCGTCTCTACTAAAAATACAAAAAAAAAGAAAAAAAAGAAAGAAAGAAAAAGAAAAAAATAGCCGAGTGTAGTGGTGGGCGCCTCTAGTCCTAGCTACTCAGGAGGCTGAGGTAGGAGAATGGCGTGAACGCGGGAGGCGGAGCTTGTGCTTGCAGTAAGCCGAGATCACGCCACTGCACTTCAGCCTGGGTGACAGAGCGAACCTCCGTCTCAAAAAATACTACTACTAATAAAATAAAATAAAATAAACAAAAAGTAACGTGTAAACTTTTTTCTTCCTGTCCATTAGTTAGGTCATTATTTATTTCCTATGCAACATTGCCAAATAAATAAATGTATTTTTAGGGAAGCATTTATATTTTATATCCTATACATAGTCTCTCGATTTTATAATTGTAAACTTATTTTAATTATATTTCTGAATTTCCCAATTTCTCTTGACAGCTGTGATCATTATTAACATAAAGTACCTCTATTTTAAGGTATATCTAATAGTTTCTAGTTTACAAATCTGGAATCTGCTGTACATACACTATTTGTGGTTATCTAAAATATATTTCCATAAAATTGTATCCACTTTAATCGCATTTACTAACAATCTTTACTAACATTTTACCTGCTTACTAGTTCATCCCCTCCTTAACGTGTATATTATATGGGTGTGTGTGTGTGTGTGTGTGTGTGTGTGTGTGTGTGTCACTTACTGTACCACCGGGTGGCGTAATCTTCTAGCACTCTCTTTTCCATCATATATACATGGAATCCTCAAATAAAAGAGGAGGTATATTAGCAGAGGTCCTGTGTATTCAGCCAAAAATACCTGAAGATAAAACATGATTTAGATTAAACAATAAAAATAGATGTTTTTAAGGTTCATTTGTGTCTATGAGTATTGGCCTATTGCATAAATTGGTGAAATAGGTGAATTATTTTTTAACTAGATTAGTGATATTGCAAATAACGACTTCCTTGGAAGAACCACGGGGAGAAAGCCTAATATATGTATAGTTAATTTAGAATAAAAATAAATATTGAACCTAATAAACTAGTTTATTTCTTCAGATATAGTAAAAAGGAGATTTTATTTTAATAAACAAACCATTATTAATGTATTTTTCTGTGTGTTTCCCAGTCCAATACACACTTAATCTTCTGTATAAACTGTTCCTGTCAATAAATTGAATGAGCTAGAGTATCTTTTTTCTTTTTCTCTTTCTTTTCTTCACTACCTTACCCTCCATGGGCCTGTCAGCTTGAATTCATTGATTTGACTCTACTTTGAATGGAAACAATTCAGTCTTCTCTATTTGCAATTTTATACTTTAATTCTAATTAGTCTAGTTGTGTGGTTAAAAGATTTAACTTTTGAGTCCTTGAGCAGAGTGGGGGTAACCGTATTTGTACTATAGAGAGACACTAACAATATTTGGAAAGGTAATTGAAAACAAGACCAAGTGATTGCAAAATATTAATTGGCTAACTGGTCTAAATTTGGTAAATGTTTGATTTTTTTTTTTTTTTTTTTTTTTTTTTGAGACGGAGTCTCGCTCTGCTACCCAGGCTGGAGCGCAGTGGCCGGATCTCAGCTCACTGCAAGCTCCGCCTCCCGGGTTCACGCCATTCTCCTGCCTCAGCCTCCCAAGTAGCTGGGACTACAGGCGCCCGCCACCTCGCCCGGCTAGTTTTTTGTGTTTTTTAGTAGAGACAGGGTTTCACCGTGTCAGCCAGGATGGTCTCGATCTCCTGACCTCGTGATCCGCCCGTCTCGGCCTCTCAAAGTGCTGGGATTAAAATGTTTAATTTTTTAGTGCTAAAATCATGTTAAATTTCCTCTGAAGTATTTAGACAGAGTAGGGAAAGTAATTTGCTTTGGAGTGTTCAAAGAGGAAAAAAAATACAACTTAACAATAATAAAGTTGACTGCCATTAACTATTTTGTCTTCATCTGCTACCACTTTTTTAAGAAAAAATTTAATTCTACACCTTTACTCAAAAATGCAGTTAGCTGTGCACATTGGTTAGAAATCATGTTCACATCTCTGTTGAGAAGATCGTTGGAATGAATAATATATATGCATGGTTTCATATATATTCACATACATATATGTGTGTAATTATTTAAAGGTTATATATATATGTAATTACACACAAATACATAAATAATAATTTACATTTGGAGGTTTCTTCAGTTACAATTCTGCCTTTTAGAAATATATATATTTTCTCATGTGCCAAGAAAGGTTTGTGTGAGAGAATTAAAAACAATGCAACTTCTGATCAATTCATTATAAAAAGCAATCTGATAGGAGAGACTGTAGTAATTTATGGCTTACAAAATGCCTCATTATTCAGATATAAAGAAAATGTTTGCCACTTGTGAATGTGTAATGATAGAATGCCAAAACTCTGGAATAATGAAGAGGGTAATTATTTTAGTACAATAAAAATTATAAAATAATTATTTCAACAGCAACTGATCTAGTGAAGTCAAATTTGAGCAAATTCTCTAAGAATATATCAGGAATATAAAATGTTGTGAACAATAGTTAATATGGACCAAGTATCACTCTTTATTAACTTAATAAAAATGCTAACACAGATCTGAAGTTTCTTTGGATGAGAGGAAATTAAACCATAATCTTATCTCAATCATCCCTCAAAAATAATTCCGGAGAGCCTACTAGTATATAAAATATGTTTTAGAAGAATTAATATTTTATAAAGAATATTTTTCTGCTAGAATATGGAGAGTTATGAATAATATGTCCTGAAAGCACTAGAGAATAAGTAAATTTTAGACAATGCATTAAAAAAATATTTCAGTGCAAATAGAAGAAAGGAGAAAAGATGATTTATTAATCTTAGTAATCAGAAAATAGTTCAAGATGAAGAAAACGAGGGCTAGACAGACAAATATTAATATGGTCTTCTGAAAATGGAACTGGTCTTTTCTACTAAATAAGGGGAAGTAAAACAAAATCAAAACCAAATACAATCAACTAAACAGATAAGCAGGCATATACAGACCATGTACATCACAAGAACTTACAAAGACTAGAAACCCCCCCATAATACAAAATTCTACTGAAGATTCTATATTCTAAAGAGGCAGATACACCTTTTTCTTATTTTGAAGATAAACACTATATTGAAATTTCAATTTATTTCCGTTATCAAATCCTGTTTATATTTTCTCTTTCAAAAAGTTAACTGTGTTAAACTAATCTTTTGTTTTGAATACAAAATTCATTATTTGTACTACGCAAGCAAGGAAACTGGGAGTCTTTGAAACCTCAGTGGAATCTTCAATGTGATATATGTATAAATTGAAAAAGGTAATATTCTGCTTAAAAAAAAATGAAGCTGCAATTGTGAATTGGTTAGAGTCCATGTGCTTAAATTGTGCTTAATGTATTTCATTTTATCTTGAAAAAAAATAGTACTATCATTATTAGGGCATTTTTGGATTTACTATCTCCTTTTCTAAAATTGTTATCAGCAGTTAAAAAAATGTATATTTTAGAATTGTTGAAAACAAAATAAAGTAGTTTTAACCTTAATCTCCTGAAGATAAGGGTGTTACATAAAGTTTTGGAAGCATTTATCAGTTGTAATACAGCAATAACACTTTGTACTTAATGAATACTGTTGAAATTAGTATCATGCCAGATAAAAATAGTGTTTTTTTGTGGTTTGTCAAATAAATAACATATAATGGAGATTTCTATTCTAGATAAATCAAACACAAAATACTAATGAGTGTAGTGAGAAAAACTGATCAAAATATTTTAAAAAGTTTTTTTCAGTCTTCAGAGATTTAATATCATTGAGGAATTAGAAGGTCAAGAATTTTGAAATGGGGGATCCAGAGAGGAGACTGAACCTTGCATATGAAGCCTCATATAAGCCTGATAAGAAGAACAGATTTTTGATGGGGCCTGGGAATGAAAAAACAAAAACAGTTGTTCATCGTCTCCAAAAGATGAAGGTGGCCTCATAAAACTGTCTCCACAGATTCTAAAACTCACCCTAAAATCATTTCAATTATTGATTGGATCAAAATGACTTGGATCCAATAATGCAATTCATTCATTTGGAAGATGGTAACTTATCTTTGAAAGAAGATAAAAATCACCTAGATGTCAGTTATCATTAAAATTTTTCACATAAATTTTCTGCATTTAGAAATATGCAGGTATACAAAGACTAAACAGACTGTGAGCAAAACGAAGAGAAATAGCAAAAATAAAAAAATTGAAGATGCGCACGACAGGAATATCAGACACAAACTTTAACAAAAACTATCTTTTATGTGTTAAAATAAATGAAAGATAAGGTTGAGATTTTTCAGATATGTAAAATCTTTGAAAAGAAAAATAATGAAATGTAATATAAAATTTAAAAGAAGAATTTAAAGAGAATAATGGACAAGCAACACTTGAATAGATAATGGTAGCTAATTTTTCAAATTATATGCATGTATGTTTGTGCACATGAATACACTAAACCACCAGCTTAGATAAAACTAAAGCAAGATAAATAAAAATATAATTATAATTGTGTATATCATAGTCAAATTACTGATAACAAAACCAAACAAGAATTATTTAGAAAAGACACATTACTTTCAAAGGAGTAAAGCTGACTTTTCAACAGAAACAATGGAATTCAGAAATTAAAACAATAAAATATTGTGAAGTTAAGAAAAGAGAACTGCCAACGTAAACTTATTTTTATGTAAAAAGGTTCTTTAACGATAACAGTTAATAAGGACATGTTAAGATAAACAATAGAGATAATTCATCAATGACAGAACTACAATAAAACACAAAAGATGTTCTTCAGGGAGAAGGATACCAGATGTAAGCTCAACATTAGAAGAAATAACTAAATTGCAGCAAAAAGGATAAGTCTAAAGGGTAAGGTATTTGTTAGATAAAATTTTAGTAATATATTTGCATTTAACGTATATAGAAAATTATATTATAACAAAACCATAAAAAATGAGTCAAGAGGAGCTCAAATATAAAGTCATTCAACTTTATATTCAATATTTATGAAATATTTTTACATTAGTAAAATCAAATATAAATATGTATATTAGCGTTTAATATCTCAAGGGTACACTCTGTAATATCTTTGATAACCCCTAGAATTAGTAAAATAGAAGACATAAATACCAAAATAACACAAAGGTAATAGAAAAGAGAGCATGACAATTAATTCAAAATAAGGTGAGAAAAAAAGACAAAAAAAGGTTATAGAACACATAAGACAAATTGAGGAAAATGAGATTTAGAGATTAAAAATGTGGAATTTACAATACAAATAGACTATCATTAAAGTGTAAAACATAAAACTATTAAACTCATAAGAAAACACAGGAGAGAAACTCCAGGACATAGAACTAGTTGAAGGATTCTTATATATGAAAGCAAAAGCATAATCTTTAAAAGAAAACCTTGATAAATTAGACTGCATTAAAATTGAAAACAATTCTTTCAGTGAAAAGTTCTGTTAAGATGATGAAAAGACAAGCTAAAGAATGAGAGAAAATATTTCCAAACCACATATACAAGGAGTCGTTTCTAAATCATATGAAGAATTCTCAAAACTCAACACTGTGTCCCAGATAAATTTTTTAAAAAGTTCATACAAATACCTCTAATATTCATTGCAGGTTTATTTGCAATAGCAAAATACTAAAAAACACCCAAATGTAATTCAAAGAGTAAATGATTAAACAAAGCCCACTACATCCTTATAACTGAATACTACTCACCAATGTAAAGGAACCAATTATCGATACAAACAAAAATCAGGATGGATTTCAAGGACACTATGCTTACAGAAAAATAAACATCAATCTCAAAATATTGTTTAAATCATTTTATAGAGCATTCTCCGTATGACAAAAAGAGGGAGATGAAGAACATGTCAGTGGTTACTCCAGGATAGGAAAAAGTATGAGTAAGTATGCAAAGATAACATGAAGAAGTTCCTTCTTAAGGATGAAGCAATTCTCTGTCTTGACATTGGTGTTAGATACATGACCTTATACAAGGGATAAATTGCATAGAATTACATGTTAACACATACACACATGAATTAATACAAAAATGGTGAAAACTGCATAACTTGAATTAATCAACAGTATTCATATAATTAGAATTGTTATATTATCATATTAATCTTTTATCTTAAGGTTTTTAGTAAGTTAAATGAGGCAGGATTTTTCTCAATATTTTGTAACACACTGTTGGTTGGAGAAAAATATTAACATCTTAATTTTAACCTTGTTAAATTAAATAGATTATTTCCCCAAAAATCTATGAAATGTTTTATTATAGGAACAGATTTTCATATTTTTCAATGTACAAGAAAGTCATATGTGGTAAAACATTACTTTTGTTGTATAGTTTAGTGGATACAAAATGGGTGTAATTGCAATGTAGTGTGTATATTTTCAGCATTTAATAGAGCTCACTCATTTGGAGTGAAAGAATGTGTGATCCATGGGATTGATTTAAAAATATCTAGCCTATTTGCAGAGTTCTCTTTGTCACATAAATGATTTTCCTCTCAAATAAACTATAATTTTCTAGTACAATTGCCAAATAATTCCACTTTAGTGTGTTTTCTTCTCAGTGCTCATGCAAGTGATGAAGTTGAAATTTCTAATGATTTAATAGTTTAATGCTGCTCACCCTGACACAATTTCTGTAAACAGAGTTCCCTTTTTGTCATAAATGTGGACAAAGACCCTGTGAATATTTTAACCTTTGAAGACCAAACACTCTTTTCTAAAATCTCTTTAAGCAAAGGTCTGTAGACATTACATTTAAGTACAGTATTAAAACTTTATTTGCAAATGCATGCATCTTCTATAGGTTGTTTTCTAAACATTAAAATATGCTTCACAAGAATTCATAAGATTCTAAACTCAATCTTTAGTGGTACAAATTAGTACTCAAAAGTTCAATATACTTTGGAAAATAAATCAACAATTTAGTGAAAACATAAAATAGAACTAATTAATTACACAGAAAATATATCTTAAAAGGAATGATTGTTAGAAAATATTAACAAATGTAGCAATATTTTAATTAATAAATTTAAAATTAAATTTGTGTTAGATTAAAATTAACAAATATTAATGTATAAATTGTCATACTTTCGTAATACTTACAAAAATGGTTGTTTAATTGTAAAGAAACAGCTCAAATCACTATGAATGGTAATGTCAATTGTTAATTGTGGCAAAAATAAAAGTCATTTTGAATAGAAAAAGATTAAAGGTAATCACAGATATGGAGTGGAATGTAACTGCAAAGGAAAACTTTCATAGTTTAAATAATACAAATAACAGAAGTTTAATGTAATTGAAAGAAAAGGAGCTCACTATTCTTTGTATATCAAAACTATTTATTAATTCTCTCACTGCCTCTGTTACTAAATATCATATTAACATTTCATTTTGCTGTTGAAGCTATTCCATTGATGTATTCTATTACCCATGAGTGTTTCAATACTGTGCACTAATAGCAAGTATTTTCACTGCCTCTTAACCCTCCATGTCTTTTCAATGTAGTCCTCATTCTTCTAATGCCATTTTCAAATATCATAATTTTAAAACCTGCTATTTTCCTCCAAAAACAGCCAAAAGAACATTTTCACAGGCTGAAAGAAGTTTACTTTTTCATAGTCAGTTGCCAAAAGTTTGTTTCTCTGACTGAGAACCTCCTTTTTAACTGTATATTCTATACTCTTCTCTCCAGTGTCAAAAGAGTCTTTGATGTCCCTAGATTACTAGAAGGAAAAGGTAAAAAGATACCATGTAAATAACAAAGCATAGGCAGAGCAGATGAAACCAGCCCAATAGTCCCATAGACAGTTCTTTTTGGATAAATGTAGAAATTGACCCTTATTACTGTTAAAGTTTGAAACTTGTATCTGTTCTACCTAAGTTCATTCTTCAGGAAAGAACCTTCAGCCCTCTCAAAAGAGTATCAAAGAACTGAAACTCATCACATCACCCCACCAGATGCCTCCTTGTTCCTCCCTAGTACCTGTTTTCTTACACATTGTTACATTTCTTCACTGCTGTATAAATCCCTAGTTTTAGTCAGGCAGATGGATTTGAGACTGAGCTCCTAGCTCCTCTGTTGCAGCATCCAAATTAAGCCTTCTTCCTTGGCAGTACTTGTCATCACTGTCATTGGCTTTCTGTGCAGTTAGCAGCAGAACCTAGACCGAACTCCTGGTGTTTTGGTAACAAAGTTGAAGCTCCCAGTCATAGAGTGGATTGACACTTAAAACAACAACAACAACAACAACAACAAAAAACAGAATTCATCTTTGTTTTTCAAAACTGTGGTTTTCTATTGCTCCAATACTTGAGTAGACCTTTGGCCACTGGTCATAGTAAGAATAGAAAATTTAAAATACCATTCAGTACATTTTGTTTCGCTATGAGTTTATTTGATAGAAATAGTCTGTCAATGAATTACTTAGAGCAAAATGTGAGGCATGTATGTTACATTTCAAATTGGCACTTACTGTGGTCCAGCTGACTTGTTGACCTAGATCTGTAGCATACAGCGTGACAATGGAGGAAGCTGCAATACTTTGAATGGTAATGTAGTCCTTCAAAAAAGGCCCACCTAAAATAAAAACAACAAGAAAATGTTACTTTAATACAATTTCTTAGCATAATGATAAATAATTTCTTAATGTAAAATCAGTAAAAGCTAGCAATTAATTTAATATGGAAATTACAATGTAAAAGAAATCTTCAAAGTAAAACAAAATGTGAACAATGCCATTTTATAACATATATCTAGCAGCTTATCAAATGCACAGTGGTTTCCCAATATCATCTAACCAAAATTTAGACTACCATTAGTTACTATCTTATTATTTCTGAGAACATGTCATATTAGGGCCTAAACAAATAACATACAGGATTTTTTTTAAAGTATAATTTTAGGATGGGTGTGAAGGCTCCCATCTGTAATCTCAACATTTTGTCGAGCTGAGGTGAGCAGATCGCTTGAGCCCAGGAGTTCCAGCCATCTTGGTGACATGGCGAAACCCTGTCTCTACAAAAAAAAAAGAAAAAAATTAGCCAGCCTTGGTGCTGTGTGCCTGTAGACCCAGCAATTCAGGCGACTGAGGTGGAAGGATTGCTTGAGCCAGGGAGGTCAAGGCTGCAGTGAACTGTGATCGCTTCACTGCACTCCTGTCTGGGTGACAAAGTGAGACCCTGCCTCAAAATGAAAACAAAACAAAACAACAAAAAGTATAATTTTGAGTGTTAGTACAACGACATCTCAACTTATTTCTAAATGATTTTATAATAGTATAAATTAGAGGTGGATAGATGAATGGTCCCTCCAAAACACCAGGAGAATGGCATAATTTATCTTTTTAAAATATATTCTGGATGCTGTGTGAAAAGTAGAAAGAAGGGAAGCGAGGTGATTATTTAGGAGACATTCAAAATTAATCCAGCTGGAGCTGATCTTTTGTTGGGATTAAGGTGGTATTGGTGAAAATGTTAAAATGTATCAATTGTAAATATATTTTGAACATAGTCTGGATTCAACTTCTTAATAAACTGATTGAGAAGAGAGGATTCAGTGAGGTAAAGACAGTTAGATTTTTGGCCCGAGTACTTAAGTGCATTGTAATGGTCATTAACTGACATGAAGAAGACTACAGCAAAAGCAAGATATGAGGGTAAAAATTAAGAGTCTTTAAGGTATTTTAAGTGTGTGGTATCTTTTAAACATTCAAGAAGGAATCAACAAATAGGCAGCAGGGTAGAAGTGTGTGTAGATATTTGAAAGTCGTTAACATTTAAAACCATGAGGCTTGATGAAATTGTTTGTATATTCAGCATGGAAAGAAAGGAATGAGTTCATGTCCTTTGTAGGGACATGAATGAAGCTGGAAAGAAAGGAATGAAAACACACTAAGGTTTCCAGTATTACAGGCTTTAGACATAGTAAGACAAAGATATAGCAAAGATTACCGAAAGGAGCTACTCATAAGATAGATGTAAAATAAACATAATTGACTGCATTCTTAAAAATAACCACCAGACAAGTCTGGAATGTGTATATGGGAAGATAGTACAAAAATATATTTTTAAGCACTATTTATAAGAAAATATTCGAAAAAACTTAAATATTATTTAATAAGATAAGATACAAATATATTTTGTTTTATTTAAAGAAATGTATACCAAGCAGGAAGAAAAGTGAGTAGACTAGACTCATACACCAAAATGAATTAATCTCTCAAATATAATCCTATTATTGTTATTATTATTATTGTTATACTTAACATATGTTATTTGTGATTTATATTATCTACATCATTAAAAGGCATCATTCCAGTCTCTATTTTTGAAATAAATAAGAAAATACTAATTTGCATCTACCATTAGATGATCTTTCAGAATCCAAGATATTTACTTCCGTTTATAATTAAAGGACTTTTAAAAGGAAAGGAAAATATACAATTATTGTATGCTACATTTGAAGGCAGAAATTTGATAAATTCACTTTTAACAGCCAGATAGTTTAGGTGGTCATATTAATGTATATGGTTCTTTGGGTGCTTTATTGAAAACCATTTTATAGTTATATTTTAGAAATTTCATTTAAATTGATTAGTATTTATAAAATACATATATATATATGTAATTACATATAAAGATAATTTTGTATTGCTTTGAAAATGTGAACATAGTCCTGGGTTTGCCTAAGAACACATGTGTGGTAGGCAGATTTCTTAGATAATTCTCAGGATTTCTGTTCCCTGTATAATCCCTGAAGTTCTACATATGATAGGCTGTTACTCTGTTGATTAAATTATATTGTATGGTTTTTAAAAATGAGATTATCTAGGTAGTCCTGATTTATTTCATGAATTTTTACAATCTGTGTGCAGAAATCAGAGACAGAGGAATTCAGAGATTCAGTGCATTGGGAAGATTCACTGTGCTATTGCTGGCTTGAAGATGGAGAAGGTCAATGTCAAGGGTACAGGTGGCCTTTGAGAAAAGACAGCAGTCTCTAGGAAGTGACAGCCAGCAAGAACACAGGAACTTCTCTCATGCAACTGCAAAGACCAAACAAACAAACAAACATAAAATGCAAAACGGTGCTCTTGCCATTATTCCATCTATCATGAGCACCCTTTCTGCAGAAAGTAAAAATTGCCTTGCTGAAAGAATTAAATTTATGTTCAAGTGCTATTTCTTTGTGGCACCGGGGAACAAGCATTTTCAACACAAACTCTTCCAATAACACAAAAGAAGATAGAAGTGGCTTTTTGTCAAGAGTCTTCACATGAGAATTCAGTAAAGTCAACACTCTCATTCCAGTCTTATAATATCCTAATCAGAGAATCAAGCCATAATGTGGCTTCAATCTAATAAATGATAGATTTTTTAGACTGCTAAATTTGTGCAAATTTGTTACATAGTGATAGAAAATTTTTGCAATATGGATCAAAGTGAAGACTTTGATATCAAAAGTGTCAGTACTATTATGACAATTATGTATAAGAACAAGAAAATGTTAATATGGACAAAAAATTCAACTGGCTTTGTATCACTTGAAAGTGTGCTGAAAATGTATTTCCAATTATATCTATTAGCACACTTAGAAAAGGGGTTAGTTTCTACCCTTCTATCATCCTTGCCAACTTCAAAGAAGAGAGATTGGCATTCTATTTTTAAAATGTAGTCCCATCAATATGAGATTTTGAAAAAACGACTTGACGGAATCTAGTTGTATCATTAATCATAGCACTCAGACTCAAGAAAAAGGGACCATTGTCCTTGGCTTTCCATGATTACGTCCTTTATCAAAGGGAGAGGAATGTGTGGGGCCAAGAGGACAGGACATGCCTAACTAGATCCCATGACGTATTTTTCTAGATCATGCTTCAGTCACTTAAGGGCCCTGAATTTCCTGACCAAATTACCACAAGCACAACCCAGTCTTTCGATAGTCCCTCCCAAGTATGGGCCTGGAACTGGGGTACACAACCAACCACAAACCTAGTGGTTTGTCAAGACTATTGTATAAAGGATGTGGATGGAGCTTTAATGTATTGCTTGGAAACAGTGATGGAAAAAAATCTATATTTTCTATGTAGAAATCCAATGATTTTAAACATTAGAAATTTTACCCAGTCCTTCCAGGACATTATAAAGCATATGAATAAAAGTAGGAAGATACAAAACATTTTACTTACCAGATTATATGACAGATTTATTGTAAAAATAGCTGAAATTCTTCACCATATCTGCACCATATACAGTATGACCTTGTAGTTCTTCTCAGTGATAGTTGTCCTTATATTCCCACTCCTTGAATATGGGCTAACTAGTGACTTGTGGGACAAACGGTCATTTACTAGTTCCAAACCTGGGCTTCAACAATTCTTTAGTATTTCTGCTCATTTTTATACTTCTACTCCCAGCTTGTGAGTAAGTCCAAACTATTTTGCTGAGAGGTGAGAGACCACATAGAACAAAGGGAATTTCATGAAAGTTGTGGTTATTGTAGACCAATCATTCCCTAACAGCCCAGGAGCTCACTGCAGCTGCATGCATGAACCTAGCCAAGTTCAGCTAAATATAGCACAGCTCAGCAGAGACACAGAGCTGAAGAATTGGTTAAAATTTTACCCATGAAAAACAATGCTTGTTATTTTTTTTGTGTTTTAAAGATTTATTTTTTGTGAGGAAACTATAGAAGTCTCTAATATTCATATAAGATCCATGATTCTAGTAAGTATATTTTGTGAGCAAACATGTATAAATATTAAGACCTTGCTTTTTTTGTATTGTCTTTTTTTTTGTTCTTAATATTAATAGTTATGACTAAGACTGATGGAGCAACTAGCCTGTGCCAATCATCGTATGCATTATAAACATATGAACTCTAACACTTTAAAAATGATTTAAGTGTTTTTTTAGTTCTGCAACATAAAAGAAGACCCTGTAGGCAAGTAACTATGAGAGAGTCAATCAAATGTAAAAATCTGAATCAATCCAAGTGAGCTTTGGATTTTGATTTCTTTGCACCGTATCTCACTAAATCAATTGATTCTTTTTTCAAATACATTATTACATTCCTTTTTAAGGACACGTAGACAACTACATTTTACTCATCTCATATCCCACCCTGGTACACTCAACTAGGTAAATAAATTTGGGAGAAAAGGAATATGTCATATTCACCAGAACACTGAACTAACAGAAATTTATCAGTCTTTTATAGTGTCCTTCAAATGGAAGTTACATTTGACAATGTTGTGTGTGACATTCTTTGAGGCTTCTTTGGGTAAGAGTCAATTACATTTCGTATATGTCAACATCCATGTATTGAAAGGCATTCATGTGCTGAAATGTGCTAGGCCCTTTGAAGGCAAAAAAAAAAAAAAAAAAAGAGACAATAATGTTTTTTTTTTTTTTCTTAAACTCTAGGTAGTTGGGAATTTGTCTTGAACATTTGAGCAAAAATAAATTTGAGAGAATCAAAAAAGTGTGGCTTCTAGAAATCTTGCATAGTTGTTTGTTTTGAACACACAGGTCTCAGAGAAAGATTAAATGTTTAAGACAGCAATGAAAACACTCATAACAGTTTTGAGAGACTCAACAAAATAATCATTTGTCTTTAAGTGCATGTAATACCTGAGAGAGGACAATCTAAATATTAGGAAAAACAATAGAAACAAAAAATCAACTCATCATTTACGAAAAATTGAGAGATTGAAATTCCTTAAGAAGTACCTCCTACAGATTTACTATCGAAGACTTTTACTAAGTATCAGCACTCTATCCTGAAAAAAGTACATGCTACCCACAGCTTTCATTAAAATTTAAAATTCCAATTTTAAAATAAAGTCGATGTAGTGTCAGTAGCAGTAATTATTGGTAGGAGCCATTTTTAAGTGCATTTATTGATAAATTTCTTGAGATCATAGGGTTTAAAAATCTGAGAAACTTGAGTTTTAACAGTGGGCATAACGCTTCTTCTCCAAATTCATTAGTTTTGTTCCTTATGTCACTTATTCTGCTTTATAACAGCAAAAAGAAAAAGAAAAAAATGAAAAAAATAAGCATTAACCTTAAAAATATGTGGTGGGGCAGTAGAATGAGAAGGTGACCAGTTAAAGCTTCACAGACAAAAATATTTTAGTTTCAGAATCTGCTTCTAAAACTCATGGACAGTGAATATGTAAAAAATACGTCTTTGAGACTAAATTATTCATTTATAAAAGTGGAGCTCTAGTTTGTTAGGAGAATCAATTAAATATACTAATATTTATATATTTACTAAGTGATAAGTGAATGTCAGCTTTTGAAAATAGAAAAAGGATTCTAAATTAAATAAACACATCAGTGAAAAATGCTGCTTACCACATTCTAGCTGCAGACCAACTCGAGAAGGGTACCACTTTGGACCTATTCAATGAGAAATAACATTTAATTGTCAGAAAAAGTGTAACTATCGCTTATAAAACTAACTGTTTCCATGGGAAGACAATTTAGATCTAGGAAGTAAATAAAATAGGTTATCTAGTTTCAGAAATAGAAATAGTGGTTATCTTTTATAGGGTGCTGACCAACAATGACAGATAGTGACTGAGAGAAAGCACGAAGAAAGCTTTAAAAGTGGTAAATTTTTGCTTTTTGATCTTTGGACTTGTTACATAGGTGTGTTCAGGTTTTGGACATACATCAAGTAGTACGAGCTATGAATTGTGCACTTCAGTGTATGTAAGTTTTTCATCAATAAAAAGCTTGAACATATTTCATTTAAAATTGGGGACTTTAATCTCATTTGAAATTTGTCTAATATTTGCACCTGCAATTGGGTTATTTTCTCTATCAAGAGTAAATACTAAGATGTCTATCAGAATTACATGTGTCATTGACTTTTAATATTATGAGTTTATTGGTCATAGCAGAAACATTACTTGAAATTTTCTCTTTACACTACCATTAGGAATAAAGAGAACACTAAATAATTCTATCTCTATAGAAAAATCAAATCATCTTTATTATACACTGCCATAATGAAGAGTTGATTCACAATTATCAGAATAAAACTTTATCTTAAAATAAATTCTATATCATCGTTTTAAAGTCTCCATTAAAAGTTTGCTTCTTAACTTTGAGATTAAACTTTACACAAATTTACCACATATATAATAAATTTTTAAAAAGAGTATTTTTAAAGGAATTTTCCACAATTATCTTCTTTTTTTTTTTTTTTTTTCAATACATTCATGGGAGAAAGCAGAGATGACTCAGGACTAGAAAGGCATAAGTGTACTTCATGGAAATGAGAAACCATGGACAGAGCCTCTATTAGTAGGTAATATATTACTAGGTGAAAGAAAAGAGGAAGGTCAGATGAAAAATCAATGTGGGTAATTTTAAGAATATATTGTATCTTTTACCTTCTAAAGTCTATTATGAGTGGGTATTGTAAACGCATACACTGAAATAAATGTAACTATCTAGAAAATATGTTATTTTCTTAAAGCTAATAAATCAAAACATAAAACTCCATGACTTTCCATAGCCAAATAATTTTATTTGGTTAAAAACTATATTGCTTTGATTACAACTTTTCAATGCATTTACAATAATAATAAATACCCCAAATGTAGCCATGATATGAAGTCAAACTAATATGCTCAATTATTAGTACTTTTTAAAGAACAAATATTTGAAAGATTGAATATAGTACAATAAATGTTTAAAGCCCACAGAAGGATACATAAAATTATTATTCTATTTTATAAGGGAAAACTGAGGGCTCTACTTTACTATTTTACTATACTGTTGAGGAAAGAGAAAAAGGAGAAACTAAATATGAGGAAAAAATCAGAGAAACATCTTTCATGGGTTAAAGTAAACAAAATATGTTTATATGCTACCTAAAATAATAAAGTTATAGCGTGCTGCTTAGCAACACCTGATTATGCATTGAATGCAACAATGTTCGAACCACTGTGAAGTGTCTGGAAGTCTTAACAGATTTACAGAAATAAAACCTGCCAGTTTATTTTCTGAAATACGAGCACTAAAATGAATTAAATGTTGTCTCTTGTAATTTTAAGACCTTACAAAGCTCTTGTTTGGAACTGAACATTAACGACTCTTAAGGATACTTAATGATTGACAGAATATTTATGGTCTTTGCTCATGTGGAAATTTAATTCAATATTGATCAAAAGTTCAAATGTTGATAACCTGTAGGGTGGTGTTAAAATTATAATAGGAGTAAAATATATCTGAAGTAAAAAAGATGTTCATTAATGATAAATTTTAATCAATCAGTTGAGCGTGATGGTTCACACCTGTAATCCCAACATTTTGGGAGGCCAAGACTGGAAGAATACTTGACCCTTGGAGTTCAAGACCAGCCTGGGCAATATAATGAGGCTCTGTCTCTCCCCCAAATAAAAGTTTAATTAATCACCAAACTTTATCCCATAGAAAGAAATAATAAAGGTGAATACCACTGAATTCATATTAGACCACAGTTGATCCTCACCCCAAATAAAGTGATTAATGGGAGAAAACATTTGAGTTGTCAAGAAAAACAGAATTATATTTGTTATTAACTATATTTGAAGCATGCAGTCAATACAATAAGAATGACAATTCTATTCTAAACAAATACCACATCCTGAAGAATGAACATATTTTGTTTCTGGCAATATAGACACTGCATATAACTAGTATTCCTAGATAAAATATAACTTTTATGCATAGAGATCCCAAGACAAAAAAAGGAAAATCCAGTGATAGAAAATAATCAAGAATCTGAGAAATAATTCAGTAAGTTTTGGGGTTCACACAATTTCTTTGGTTTTCTTGCACATTGGGAATCTACATAAAGCCCTAGGCCAGTACTTGTGATTCTTATGCACAAATAAACATCTTTAATTGAAAGAGATAATTAGAAAGAAATTTACCTCCAATACAGGTATAATATGTCAATCTCTGCCTGTTCAAAGATAGAAAATATATATCCCTTGAGAATTTGTAAACAGCCACTGGTGCCATATTAAGTTTTGATGATCAAGTATATATTATAATATTATTGTTAGGTTTTTGGAATACTCTCATTGAAACTTTAGTAGTGTGCCACCAATGGTGGTCTGAAGCTATAATACTTCTGGGACACCTGGTCCTAGAAAAAATACCCTACTGCAGGACCATCCATTCAGTTTAGGTAACGCAACTTAAAACCCTCAAGTAGATAAACTTACAATTTAAGTTTTAAGAATCATATAAAAACTAATTCACCTTTAGAAAGTGTGCAGGGACATGATAAATAATAAGATTAACTCCAGAGAACATCAGAAATATGGAATCTCACAGAAAGTCACCTAAATCACTTAAAGATGATTGGAAGATTTAAAAAAAAAAAAGGATCAAAAATATTAGAACTGCAAAAACCTTCAGGCTTTTTTGAGAAAAGATCAAATAAAATTTATTGAAATAAAACCTTTTGTACCTTATGATTAAAATGTAATGGGATGATGGTGTAGTCATGCAGAACAAACAGAAGAATTAGTCAATGAAAGGATGAGCCTGAAGAAACTACTCAGAAAGCAGAAAGATAAAGGGATTAAGAAAAAATGAAAGATAGATGAAAAGAAATAGGGAACAAAATTAAATGATATATGTTCACAGGCATATACAACAATAAGCAAAAAAGTCCATTAATTGCAATGACAAATCACATATTCCATCTCATCCATCCCTCCTGCTGCAAACAACTGAAAAAGTATGAGAAAATATTTTATCAAAATCTCCACAGAGTTGTTAAGAAAAATAAAAATAATTAGGGAACCAAGATCTGGGAGACAGAGGATGCTCAGAAAGCCGAGTCCAGCAACTACAGCTCCGTTCCCCTAAGGGTATCTGTTTATATTGGAAGAAGTTGCTAAGAGGCAAGGAAGCTGAGCAGGGCTTTTCACACACCTATGAGCCTAATGGGACAAAAATCAAACTTTATGCACAAAGAAAAACTCTGGTAAAAGTTCACAATTTCAGTCATTACCCTTAATTAAGGATGAATCAGAAATCAATCAATTCTTAAAGGAAATTAAGTCCAATTTTGAGTCATCTCCATCCCTGTTTGAATTAAAGTGATCTGTAACCTCCAAAGTCCAGCCTTACTGCTGGCAGAGACAAATGTAAATCTTCTCTGGAAGGAGATCACTTCTTTATTCAGACCCTATAATTACCTCTAATTTTTTTCATATATAATACCAGGCCTCAATAAAATATAACAAAGAGTGCTAGAAGACAAGACATGATGAAAAACCAGGGGGAAATTAAAAGGTATTACAGAGTTTCACCAACAATTCAGATAAAGTTTTCATATACAATTAAGAATAACTATGATTGATATAAACATAAAATATAAGACAGAATTATTTGGAAATCTGGAAACTATAGAAAGAAACACAGACATTTGGGAACTGTAAAGTATAGTAAATGGGTTTATGAGATATCATCTCATGGTAGAGAGAAAAATAGTGAACTGGAAGTTGGAAGAAAATATCCCAACTAAAGCAAAGAGAGATAAACATGTGAAATAGGAAAGGTGTATGATATATACATGATGAACAATGAAAAAGTACATCATTCTAATATATGTGAAAATGACATGTGAGAATAAAAAAGTTAAAGAAAAGTAAAAAATCTATATATTGAATGATATGATGGCTGAGAGTTTTCCAACACTGGCAAAATATATCAAGATAAATATTGAAGAATTACTGTAAATAACTATATACACATATATAAAATAAAATGTATACATATTCATATATTGATATATATAATTAAAGACATGTATGATGACAAGACATATATACTGAATATATATTTAATGAAAACCAGATGTAAGTGTATAATTATTAAAACGTTTGAAACAATAATAGAAAAATATTTTAAAAAGACAGATTAAAAAATAACAAAAAATGTCGTAAATATTACCAACAAATAAATGGCAATTAAACTAATAGAAGAGTTCTAAAGAGCAATATAAGATATTGGCCAAATAGCTTTTAAATAAAACACTATTGAAATAAAATGTAATATAAGGACAAGTTTAATTAGACTAACAAGTCTTACTGTCAATAGAACACTTCTTTCTATCATTAGATTAACATCTAAAGGACCAATTTGAGAAAAAGAAATTGATTTCAAGAGAAAGGGATGAGATAAATAAAACAATATTGAGTAAAATTCTGCCATGCATTTGGATAATTCTATATAAAAAAGCAGAATATCTTGTAATTTGATTATATACAATATGATTATAGTGCTACTAATAACGTATGTGCTTATACAAAAAGTATATACAACCATAATATACAAAATGGGAAGCATTCTTTGACTTTAAACCATCCTGAAAATTTAGGAAGAAT